TTTTTTTTTTTTTTTTTTTTTGGATATAATTTAGAATTGAAAAGCCAAGTTTACAATTCATTATTTAATTTTGAGGCTATTCAGAGAGGCCTCAGAATTCTGGACGTTCGGAGAGGGGCGAACCCTCTCCGAAAGCCATAAAAATATATGAAAATTAATAAAGCAAAGAGAGATTTTCACCATTTATAAAAATAAACTTTAATTTAAATTAATTTCGTATCATATTTTTACACAAAACATTAAATTTTGAGGCCTCTGTATATGGTCTAGATCTAAATGGCCATGCAGACACCTCTTCTCTCTCCTGGACTGTAAATAATTTTATTTATTGTATTCTAAATTTAAGTTATAAACTTAACGAAGAAAATTCAAATGATTTAGAAACAGAATTTTAATTACAATTTAATTTTTCTCTAGAAACGTTGACCATTAAATCATGAGGAAAGTCGAGGTAAAGTGAGAAATATAATTAAGATTTATTTAAATTTTTAAAATAAAATGAATCTAATAGCATTTATTTTTCTTAATTTAGATTTGAACCTTATTTATCCAATTAAAAAAAAAAGCATGTACAGAAGACATTTTCATTATATTTAATATAATACTTTTATTAAAATTAAATAATCTTAAACATATTTAAAATTCATCGTGTCTCTTTTGATTATCGTCCATCCAAAATTCCGGAGGCTGCAGGGCCATGAAAAATTGGAAATTATTTAATATATCTTGCTTAGTAATTTTTGTATCCCTGTCCTGGTCTGCTAATGATATGAGCCTCCATGCTTCTGCTTCGTGTCTATCGTATGGCGGCAATATCCAATCTTTAAATTCATCTTTATTTAAACTTCCGTCTTTATTTTTATCTAAATAATTGACAAAGTGGCCCTGTTGCCCTTGGCTCCAGTTTGGATCGTTTTTCTCTTCCCCGGCAACATTTTTGGAATGCTCCATATATTCTTCCAAGCTTACTTCATTATTTTTGTCCACGTCAACATCCTCCATCGCTTCGTCTATAACAATATCTTTAGTGCGATCGGATTCTTCGGGATGTAAAAAATCTTTAAATTCTTCCCTAGTTAATAGATTATCTTTATTACTATCGGCTTTTGCCCATCTTTTTTCCAGTCTTTTAATCATTTCCTTCATTTTTTCTAAGTCTTCCGAATTTTGCATCTGTAAAACTAAAAAAAAAAAACAAAAAATTATCGAGAAAACATGTGGATTTTTTAGTTCTCCTGATTATTAATTGGGCTACAACAAGGCTAATTTAATTACTACATGTAAAGCAATTTGGCTACAGGTAGGCGATTAGACTGCCATCTAATGATAGATTTAATAATTAGAATGTTTTCCTAAATCCTAATTATTAATTTATCATAGGTGGCGGCTTAACGTCTATCTAAAGCCAAATTGCTTTTAAATCTAATAATTAGATTAGCCATTTTTAAGCCCAATTAATATATATATATATATATATTTTTTTTTTAAATTATTCTGCGCTTAATACTTACAAACATCAGGATAAGTGAAATTTTTATAAAGTTCCCAACTTATAACATCTACAGCTTTTGCATTTTGTCCAGGGGATGTTAAAACTTGTTGTTGTTTAGGGTGAAAATATCTCCATTGAGAATCTAGTGTAGTTTCAATGGCTTCTAAATGGATTTCTTTTAACACATCGCGTAGTTCATCGACCGTAACGTAACCATCTTTGTTACGATCTACTCGTTCGTCGATTAATTTAGATAATTTAGCTTTAATAACTTCAGGATCGGGAGGTTTGCTATAATCTGGTTGTTTATGTTCGCCGGTTGGTGAAGGTGGAGGAGGAGTGAATCCTTGATGAGATCCTCCTTCAATTTTAGAAAATTTAAGTAAAAACGCAAGCAATAATAAGTGATGCCTCATTATCTGAAAAATACATACGTTTTGATTATTAATATATTAAAATTTTAAAAAAAATACAGCATAAAACGCATCAAATTAATTTGCATATGGAAGAAGAAAACATAATTATTTTAAAAGCTAATTCCTAGTAGAAAACTGGAAAAATCTTAATGCTCTAATTAAATAAGCAATGTAAAACCCATCTGGGAGCATATTTTAACCTTAAAACCCATTAAAAATATAAAAAAACAGATTTTTTTTAGCATAGCGATATCAAAAAAATCTATAGTTAAATGTAGCATGGCATCGTTACAGGTTTTCAACTTGACCCGGAACAGAAAACGAGGATAAACTAAGAATATTTTAAACTACATCGTTCGAACAATTATATAAATTTAAATAATAAAAATTACAATTTTACCTTACAGATTTTAACAAGAGTTACCTTTAGTTCAATCTGTATATACTTACATACAAGCGTTTTAACTAAAGTTAACCCCCTTAAAAAAATCTGTATAGTTCGTTTACCTGTGTACTAAATATGGAGTTTGCTAGAAAATAAGTGAAATAAGTAGAATATAGACTTATAAAAGTACTTACCTTATGTTAAGTAGAATTGTAGAGTAAAATAAGATTGTATATGAATTCAGACGTAGACACGTGTACTTGGCAATGGTAACCTGTCCAATCAAAGAAGATAACCTTATTCGTCCAATCATGACGGTTGACCTGGACACAATCAGGTTATAGCTGACGTAATGATGTGCCATTGTTATATTCGGATATTTAAAGTTTCATGAATATAAAGTTCAATTTAAATTAATTAAAGAAAAATAATCTTTATTTTTACTTTAATTTTTAAATATAAATTGTACGGAAGCTTCTTTTATATACTGTACTGTACTTATCAACGAAGCTATACTTCGTTCAGATATTGCAATGGAAAAAAAAGTTATACAAAATTATATATTAAAATAAATGTATTATATATTAATTATTATTTAAATTTATTTAAAAAAAAAAAAAAATATGTCCGGAAAGTTAATTTACTAAGTCATCGACAGATGGCGACGCTTGCGATTTAAGAATTTAAACTGGTTCGTTACGAAATTAACATGACGTCACACTAATTAAATTTGATATTTCGTCTTAATTTATAATAAATAATGAATTCGTCGAATGGCATTAAAACACGACAAATTAGTCACGTAAGCATTTATGAGTTACTGTTCATTGTTTGATAAAGTTCTAATGGATTAATGGCCTTAAATATTTTTGATTAAAATAATATACACGAGTAATATGATGAGGCCCTAAGATAAATACGTTTACAGGTTAAGGCCTCGTGTTATAAGGCTAACCTCAAATCTTTAACTTTGTTGTTATTAGGCGAAAGCAAGTCCTCTTATGTATGATAGATGCATAATAAGTTGAAGTTCATGTTAACACGTGTCCTCTTTTTTCCGGACGTTCTCTTTTTGAATGTAAAACTTCCGTCTGGTATATTTTTAAATAAAACTTTCCTTTAAATATCCTATAATTCTGCCATTTGATTATGGTAAACCCTATTTAAATCCTGCTCTAGATAACACCATTTTATTTTATGGTATGCTCATGGTATGTGCCATTATATATCTTTGCTGTAAAACTATTTCATTTTCGTAATAAATTCCTCAAAGTTTACCATAATATAACAGTTTTAATTTAATTCTCTTAAAGAATCACGGCAATGAGTATTGTTGGCCTTTGTTGGAGATTCGAGTGTACTAATTAAATATGATTGTAACATTTCTGTTTACAGTAAAAAAAAGTCGGAATGTTTCATAATATTATGACAAGCATCTATATAAAGTTTAAGGTAAAAAAAATAATGAATAAAAGGGCTTTTTATGCTTTAAAATATCGGAAATATAATTCTAGTGAGAGTATAGAGTGACAGATAGATTCGTTGAATCGCCTCAAGGTCAGGGTTGGAAAATTACAGCTGAGGAAATTAATTTCGTTTCTCTTAAAAAAAAAAAATATATAACAACAACTAATAATAATTAAAGCCGCATTAATTAGAATAAAACCGTATCCTAATTAAAATAATTTTTAATAAATATGCTAATCAGCATTAAAAAATTATATATTATCTACTCTATAGGATTCATGCAGTCGGTTCCTTTGCCGCACCGTTTAAAATTATTCGCAAGTTCGGGGGAGGTTCAATGGCATTTTTTAGAATATCGAATTATTAAAATTTTAAATATAATTTCTTAATTCGAATCCGTTTAGTGATGCGTAGAAACCATCAGTTTTTCTCCTCCCCCTCGAAAGGTCACCTTGAGGACCACGTGATAATGGGTGGAGGATAATAAGTAGTCATTAATTTTTGTTTTCTATCCCAGTCGTTAGCAATTAAAATAAGATTTTAGGGATTTTTTTCCCTCCTCCGTTTAAAACGATACGAGAGCATTAAGATATTTTAAGCTGAAATTACATAATGGGTATCAGTTAAATGCCTGTGAAGATTCGCGAAAGTGTATACACGTTGCTAAGTGAAAATACGTGTATAAATGCCACCAACAGGTGCACACGTCGTGTAATTTATTCATGCAATGCCATAAATTTTAATAATATTTTCAGTTCTTATTTTAAAAAACAAGAAAAAAAGATTTATTTCTATAATAACATACAGCTCATTTTATAATAAAATTACACGGAAGTGAAACAGGTATGTACAAAAGCCATCAGTTAAGAGGTAATTACATATTTTGAACACGTATATATAATTATTCGGGAATATATTTGTGGGTAGTTATTCACTGTATAGAAGCTAATATAAATAATAAGCTGTAGTTATTTTCGAAATTCTATTCTTCTTCTTCTTACAGTTCATTATTTTCCTCTCCTTTTTTTTCCTGCTACGAAGCTGTAAATCTTTGGCATGTCTTCAGTATTTCTTCATTTTCTGGTGTCTTCTTCCATTGTCGTAGTCACTGTTCATTGCCGCTAGGTGGCAGCATTTGTGGAATACGGTACCCTTACCCACGACGCACTGCTCGAACGTCATCATTAATTTCTCTCTAGATTTATCCATTCTTTCGCTATTGCCGAAAACTATCTTCTTGTTGTGGGCACGGTTCCTGTTCCTCCTCATAATTCTTGCTAAGTAGAAGTATACGTAACAATGGAAACCTTTATCGCCCGCCATTACACCAAGCATACAACACGTCGACTTCTTCTTAGTAGTGGATTCTAAAATCGGAAAAATTATTAAATTAAATTTAATTCGGAAGGATAAAATATGTACTGTATTTTGTAACGAGAATCGACCTGTTATAAAACGAAAGAAATTCGACTTGGACCAAGGATTATGTGTATCAGTATCCGCGTTACCGCTTCCTTCGATCTCTTCATCCGTATCGATCAACTGTTTTTGTTCGTTTCGATCGAGATCGATCAAGTAATCTGAAAAAAAAAAAATAGAATAAAAGTTTAGAAAAATACTAATTGTCACGTACAACACACAGAACCACGTCTTGTTTATAAACGCAAATACGCATGCTCGCAGCGAAGGTCATCCACCCTCGCAAGGACGTAAACTAATTTGAATGTTTTACAAAATCGAAAGCTATCTCAAGGTTTATTTTGAAGTAAAAGGTCACGCCTTTTACCTCAAAATAGGCGCGTGAAATNTAAAATTGAAGTTCTGAATGAGGTGGTTGGGACCCTATCAGAGCTGTAGACCATACCCATAGTAGCAAAAAAGTCACAGGAACCGTATTTCTACACGGATGCTCGCAGCGAAGGTCATCCACCCTCGCAAGGACGTAAACTAATTTGAATGTTTTACAAAATCGAAAGCTATCTCAAGGTTTATTTTGAAGTAAAAGGTCACGCCTTTTACCTCAAAATAGGCGCGTGAAATTAATTCTGTAACAATCTCAATCCCCCCCTTTCTGTTCGGTTAAAACACAAGATGCTCTCTTAATCTCTGTTCTGTTTGGTTTAGGTAAGTGGTGCGATCCTGACCTTTGACCTCGGGCAGCGCGTATCTGTTTGACTTTTCAACTTCCCCTACTTATGGCCCCGAACATCGATTACTGGATTGAATTACTTTCAAACCGGATACGTCACGTTTGGCTTAAACTTCGAAATTTGAATTTTTAAATAATTTTTTTTAAAAAAAATTGCCACCATTTTATAAAGAATGCCACCGAATCCTTTCCAATCCGTCTCAAATTTCGCCATTAAACTTCTCGGTTTATAATCACAGGTAGGCCTAATTTATAAATGCGCGTGACGTCACGAAACGTCATCGATTCGAGGCCAGATCAAAGTTTTTATTTATTTATTTAATTATTCTCTACAACTGGAACCGCGTAAACAAATATTTTAGGTTAAACGATAACGAAAGAATTAAAATTAATTATTCGCATTTAAAAATTAATCGAATTTATGCAAATTTGATTCATTTATAATCTGACCAGTAGTAACAACGCATTATTATTATTAGTTTTTGTTTTATTTACGTTATTCATTGTTAATTATTGCATTATTTATGATGTAAATAAATAAATAAATACTTAATACTCACCATCGAAGTGCTTGTAATGTGGCCTTTTGGCTTGTCCTTCGAGAAAGAAACCGAGTAGCAGTAGCAACCAGATAGAGATAGGAGCACCCTTCATAGTCAAAGAGAGGAGACTACAAGCGGCACTAATGCCTCCTTCCATCCCTTCTTATATATCTACCCGTGGGAGGTGGGAGCGGGGTCTAAGGACCTTTGTCCTCTACTTACTGACATTCTAAACATAAACACATTTCTTTATGCGCCGGTTTTTCTCTCTCCATTTTACTTTACAATTGAAAAGTTTTGGATTTTTTTCCCTTTCATGTTTTTTTTTTGCTAATTTATCATTTAAAAAAATTAATTTAAAGAAAACACAAACAATTTTTTTATTCGTCATAAAAGCCAGAATTTTAATAATTTTTTAAAATTAATGATTATGTGGTAGTCTGTTAATTATATCTACAGCTTTTTGAGCATAGAAAACATTGAACTAATAGCCGAAAATGGCAGAGTGACTGGTTTGTATCTGGTAAAACGCTCTTTATGACTTATAATTCGCTTCCGACAGAGTCATTATCTCTTGTTATCGGAGTGAATCATAAATATACCCAGTAACATAATGAATCATAATATTCGTCCCTCCAATAAACAAATAAGAAATGTCTTTTAAAGTGTTTCATACTCCTATCTGTCGCTATCGTAATGTCAATTTTGGTTGTTTTTTTTGGACGCCATTTTCTTGCCGTTTTAATAAACAAACTCGATCCAATTTTAAATAATATCCAGCAAACTTTTTATCTAATTTTTCTATTTAAATTATAATAATAATTATTATATAAATAATCTAAGACGACTGCCCTAATTTGACTCCATTTAATGAGCGTTTTATTAAATTTTTCATCGCAGATTTCGCGAAATTGTCGAAGAAACTTAATATAAATTTAATATGTAATTTATGTATAATTTCTAGCCTGACTATAGAGCGTAGAAGGCCTTATTTATCTTATCGAGGCCTTCTAAATTTTCGAATAGTTTTGATTTCCCGTACAGGAGGGCGTTCTTAAATTAATTCTCCTTTCGCCGATCGGATGTTTATTAATTTATTATTATTACGGGACGAATGACGAGCGACGAATTTAGGGCAAGGCATACAAGATAAACAAGACGAGAAAAATAATAATAATTAAAATTTAAAAAAAAAAAAAAAATTAAAAAATTAGTAAACACGCAGCTCCTCTAGCGGCGAGTTTGAGAACTATAATCGGAGGGACGTTCGATTACTGTTGGTAGGAGGATGCTTAAAAATTTAATAATTTAATTGATTTGTTACTAAAATTAGAATAAAAATAGCTTCCGGGTGGTTAATAGTATCGTTTTGATTCATTTAATAGATAATTAAGGCGGTTTCTGTGTGTTTAAATCGTGTAAACGTGGAGGAAAAGAGTAAATGTTAGGCTAATAAGGCATGCACGCGGTAGGAGTTACTTTTAGGTAATTGCCTGTATTTTTATACATAGACAAATTAACTAAAAGTAACTTTTACCGAATTGTTTTGTTTTGTATGTGGAATGTATTGTTTTCTGTATAGAAGTGTTTCTAGTGTTATGTTTAATACTTATTATTTTGTTTTATAATGAAAAATTTGTTTTTTAATTATAGAGACAGCTATTAAAAGGATATAATTGGTTGAAAATCAAACTTGACCATATGATACAAGGGAAAAGAAAATCATAGAAATAAAGGTTTGGAATGTTTTTCTTTGTGGTGGTGTCTTTTTACTTGTTTAAAATGGAGGTAAAATTGAAGTTCTGAATGAGGTGGTTGGGACCCTATCAGAGCTGTAGACCATACCCATAGTAGCAAAAAAGTCACAGGAACCGTATTTCTATACGGGGCTGGGGAGTCTGCGGAATAGTGTTACCACCCGTCCGGTTTTCACCCAGACAGTTCGGGAATTGACTCACTGTTCGGGTGAACTATTAATTTTGTCCGGGAATTTCGTAGAAATAGTGAATTATGAAGAAACAAAGTTCTTGCGAATATTTTTACAAATTTACACTATTTTAACAGTGAAAGAACTCACACTCACTGAAATTCATCTGCAATTCTGTCATGTTAGTCTGTTTATGCCGATGTGTGGCTTGCAACCTGTCGACCTTTTTTTTTCTCTTGTACTTTATTGTACACATCTCCAATAGAGCTAAGTTATCTGTACCTATTCTTTTTTTTCTCTTGTACTTTAGATACTCTTGTTTTTTTCTCATACTCCAATAGAGCTAAGTTATCTGTACCTGTTCTTTCTTAATTTAGGTTACTTACGTTACTCCTACGCAAGTCCTAGTCTCTAACTGTAACTGATTTAGAACTGGCATGCACGTTATTCTTTGCATTGTAAAATGGCATTGTGCATGCATCAGGAACTTCTGTTTGAACAAACCCGACCTGCCATCTGGGTCAGTGATTTTGAAAAGGTGGCAACACTACTGTGGAAAGATAAATGATTCCAGACTCTAAGTCAGTATTTTTTAAAACCGACTCCAACTGTCCATTTCTGCCTCTACCTGTGACCCTTCGTGAGATGTGGCTCCCTGAAATCGGCTACTTCTGGGTTACATGTGATTGGGAAGTCTTCTTGCTCTGCTAAGTCTATTGCATTTAACTAATTGACCTGGGCATCTATGACAACTTTGAATAGCCCATTCGACTTTTGTGGAGTATTCAATATTACATAGTTTTAGGAGTGTGTGGGGCTCACTCCATGAGGGTGCCAAGGTGTGGGTAACAGCGAGCACTGAAGCAGAGAATGAAGAATAGGTGGTATACTGGTTCATGGTAAAAACTGACCTTTAGGGGTGAATATCTCACAGTGTCACATGTGCAGGTATGGTTCCATTGATTTCTTTGCTCATATTGGAAGTCTGTAACTATGGGGTGGTGGCAAATCCCTCATTCAGAGTTTGCATCTTACCTATTTTGATCATTGGTTATATGTACAAAATAATTTGGGAATAGTCTACAGCTCTAATAAAGTCCCAATTGCCTCTTTCAGAGTTGCAATTTTACAAAAATGGATACATGTCAAGAGAATACATTTTGGAATATGATTGGCTTTTTTAGTTACTATAATTTATATCCACTTAGTTTTGTGTAAAACTGCACGAGAGGGTGCTAGTTGTCAAGAAATTTTTCAAACTTCCTGTTTTGAGTGGGTGTTTAGTAGAATGTAATGGAGGTAATATTTGTTTGAAAGCAGGAAACGTAATTCACGACACATTGTAAAAAATGCCACTATAAAAGGACTAGAAATTACTGTGTGGCAGTAAGGTCAAGTATGTTTAGTGTTATTACAAAAAATTGTAATATAAGTAGCAGCAAGTGATAAGTTTATAGCAATATGGCATGGCTCTCACAAAGCAAAACCATGCACAGATGATAAATAGAATCTCACTCTTGCAGATATCTGGTACTTACTTTTATCATGGTTTGATGTTCTTACTTTAAATTGCATTCATGCATTAGCTCTTTAGCTCATTTTTAGTATGGATAGGATCAGGGCCTTTCAGAGAAAATGCAAGGCCCGGGGCAACTAATATTTTAGAGGCCCTTCAAAATTTTAAATAAAATTGTGGACAAGAAAATAAAGTCAATGGTATTTAATATTTTTGGATTATTACGTTTAATTATTTTACAGAAGCTTTGCACATTTTAACATTAGCAAATTCGCTGATTATTTCAGAATAGTCTAAAATACATGCTATCTGGTAATTTATGTTGAGTGTTGCTAGTCCATTTAATCGTTCCTGACACATTGTCAATCACAGGTAGTTTTTAATTCTTTTCAGAACACTAAATGATCTCTCACCTTCTGCTATATTCACAGGCAAGGTTAAAAAAAATTTGAAGCACAATCGTTATATTGGGAAATATGTTTACAAATCCCATGTCGATAATTTCCTTAAGTAATTATGCTTAATTTAAAATTGGATTTGTAAATATGCTTCAGCAGTATTAGTTCTACAATTTTGTCACTTATTTCATTTTTATATTTCTCTAGCAATAATTTTGCCTTTGAAACTGTATTCTCTTGATCCATTTCATTAAATTTCCATAAAACTTCAAAAAATTACAAATTGAAGAAATTGCTTGAAATCGACACAAGTCCATCTATTATTGAATTGATAATTTTGTTAAAAATGTTTAAATGAAAATATTCTTCAGCAGATTTTGGTCTTTTAATTGACAATTTACTTCAAATTTTGGAGTGATTTCATTTTGGTTGCAATTTTTTTATTTTACATTCAGAAGGATTTCAGAGGGATTACAAGGAATTTAAGAAAGACCTATGTATTCTGTTATTGTATTACTGGCACCAGACACTGAAAAGGCTTTATTGTCCAGCTAGGGGTCTTTTAGTTTGATTATAAATTTCATATCTGCATTAGCTATGGACAGTTGAGGCAAAAAGTGTGTTCTCTATTAAAAATTGGAAAAGTTTTTCTCAAAAATTTTTTTGGGGAATTTAACTGTAAAACTAAGGCTGTTCTACGAGCCGTGACATCACTTTGCCTCTCTTATATTTTTGTCTAACATGTTCAGTTGGCCCAGGGCAGATGTCCCCCCCCCTCTGAGAGGCCCTGGGTAGGATATATATACTGTATATGTTATGTAACTTCTTCAAATATATATATACTGTTCCAATAGAGCTAAGTTATCTGTACCTGTTCTTTCTTAATTTAGGTTACTTAAGTTATTCCTATGCAAGTCCCTAGTCCCTAACTGTAACTGATTTAGAACTGGCATGCACGTTATTCTTTGCATTGTAAAATGGCATTGTGCATGCATCAGGAACTTCTGTTTGAACAAACCCGACCTGCCATCTGGGTCAGTGATTTTGAAAAGGTGGCAACACTACTGTGGAAAGANAGGCCCTGGGTAGGATATATATACTGTATATGTTATGTAACTTCTTCAAATATATATATACTGTATAAAGTATATTTGATATATATATTAAATACAGTATATATCAAATGTGCTTTCTTTAGCATATATGCATAAGAAGACAATGATTGAAGTTTCCATACAGAGAAATTAATTAATTCAATCAGCAATTATTAAATCACTGAAATAGAAATAATAAACTTTATCGTCACTCCATTTTCTTTCTAATCTTTCAAATGAAAGGGAACATTATGACAAACATATCTTGCAAACATATCTTGCCGGAGATTTCGCTCATTTGCATCTACATGATGACGAAATAGTTTTAAACTCTGTTCAGACTGTACTTTTCCTTTTAGTATGCCATGCCATGTGTTTTACTGTGTACCACCGTATTTCATGTACTTTTTCACTTGCTAAATAATTATAATAGTCAAATGATTTGTAATTTTTAAACAATTGCTTTGTATAATAGCAGGTTCTTTCCACAAAATAATTGTGAAAATTGAGCTATTTTATTGTATCTCTGCTAAAGAGATTGTGTAGTTCAACATTTAAGAGATTAGGCCACTCCAGGACAAATTGCTTAAGCTTTCCTTCATATCCAGCTTTAGCCTCATCATCCAAAGTAAAATAATAACTCATAATTATTTATTTTAATTTTATAACTGTTTTGGTTTTTAAAATATTAAGATGATTTCAACATGTTAAATGAGCAAGGTAAAAACAAACACTGCACACTGCTAGCAAGAAGTGACAGAGGTTCCACCACTCCCATGATGCTTTGGGCTTCGTTTGTTGTTTTACATAGGTGAATACATATTAGGGACTGTCTATTATGATTGTAATTATTGTATTTATAAAATGATCAAAACTTTTGTAGTTAACAAAATAACTGTTGTTTTACTGTATGGAAATAGTTACTTCAATAGTTAAATTTAAAATGTTAATTTTATTTCAGATGTACTAAATGGATGATGATGATGATTTCGATATATCTGAACCTATTGAAGGAGCTAATACCAACAATTTTCAGGTAATACTATTGCAAATCTGAGTACCGGTATATAATTTTGATAAATAAAAGATACCTTTCTGGCCATTAGAAAAATGAACTACATGTATTTTTATGTAAAATAAAACTGTAATTCATTTTTCTAATGACCAATGAAATTTCTTACTATCATGAGGGTTCTGGAATTTTTTCATTATATAGGTTCTCCTCTACTTATGAACAGGTTAGGTTCCTGAGGTTTTATCATGAGTCGAAATGTTCATAAGTAGAAAACTAAGCTAGAAAGTACATTTGTACACAGAATAACTACATATTGTTAGTGTTTGATCCTTCAGTGTACTTAATAGAATACATTATGCTTGTTTACCCACTCACTATTGCTTAATAGCAGGTGTTTCAGATGAAGTTTTTTCACCTAATGGACTTAATTTTATAATGTCAAGTTTAGTTTCCATAGTAACAGAGTCACACTTCTTTCATTTATCTCCACTGCTAAATTTACTATTGTTTTGGACTAATTGTAAAAATTTATACAAATTGCAAACAATAATGAAAAACATTGTTACTCCAGTGCCACTTCAAAAACAGTGATGTAAAATCATAATTCACACAAAAACAAAAAATGACAATATGTAATAGAAATAATTACACGCTAATTATTTATTAAAAATTTATTATTTATTACTCACAAGCCTGACTTCAACACTACCCCGCAAGTAGCAAGAGAACTTCAGAATTTGTGCAAAATTTAAATTTTAATGTACAGTCAAATTATTCATAAGCTCGGACATTTGTAAGTAGGAGAACACCTGTAGTTTGGAAATCCAGATTCTCAAAGTTTTATTGATGAATTGGGATGAGATGATTCAATCAGTGTGAATGGCAACATTTCTTGCAGATTATGTTTAAATGTAATAAACAAAAATATAATATTAACAATAGATTATTTGATTGAAAAAATAATAGATTATTTTTTTATTGAAATAATTTGAAATATCTCAAATGATTAACTTGTCTCCATTTTGATACTTTTTAACATAAAGAAAAAATTGCAGAAATCTGTCTGTCTGCACTTAAAATTCCATACCAAAAAATTCTTCTTACCCTACAAATGTTTTTATCTACAGAGGAATAATTTTGTCCCTATTGAGAAACACTGCATTAGATAGATAGGCAGTGCTGTAAAAACAATAGCTAATTAAACAAGTTATTTCAATAAGGTATTTTGATTTACAATAATAAATCAAAACACCTTATTGTACTGTACTTTACCTATTGTGGTATATACATGTGTATTATATAATGTAAAAATTATGGAAGCTTCATCCCTGCTTTCTTTACCCACTTCAAAAATTTCCTCATGAGTCACTGATTCCTGATGCCACTGCTTCTAATTTTTTATGATAGAAAAAATTTGTCACGATTTTAAGCTAAATATTTTATATGTGTATATCAGTGATGGGCAACTTCTTATGGACATGGGCTAGAAGGGAAGCCCACTCTGTGGGTTTACAGTGGGCCACTGTGATGTTCATGACTCATATAAAATGCACACATTTATTTCTTCCTACATGAGATTACATGTTAAAATTTTTAATTAATGTTAAAAATATGCTTTTTAAATATTGTGTATAATCTATATACAGAAGTAATTTTATTTTTTTAAAAATATTAAGAATATAAAAGAGAATAGTTTAAAGAAACACAAAAGATAATGAAGAAAAATAGCATTCGGTACAAAGTTCTTAATTACAATGATACACAAATGCCAATAAATGAAATAATAATTTCTCTCTGTTTACAAATGAAATTATTTTACTTATAAATCAATAATGTTTTTAAGTTTAGTTGCAAGAATAATATAAAAATGTGCATGTTTATAACATTTAAAACATTCTTAAAGATTAATGTAAAAATAAAAGAACTAATAAAATATTGCTGGATTCTTTACTTTTTAGTTATTTAAAATTAAAATTAATTTAATTACAATAGAATTCACTTGCTGTAATCACTTCAGGACTTGCCTCTGTTGATGATATTAACTGACTGATGACACATTAAGCAGAATAAGTAAATAAGACTACAGTTACTGGTTTTCTTGACTCTGATATTATTAAAAGGACATGTTAAAACAATTTAAACATGTATAACTTAAGATTTATTAATTATCATAATTATTAATTAATAGTTGAGGTAAAAAGTGCTAGCAATTTAAACTACTATGCTGCAAGCAAGTAATGACTTAAATGATTAATGTTTAAAACATTGTCTGAAACTGACAATGATAACTAATAATGATTGAATGTTATCAACTGCTTGCTGAGGCTAATTATGTGTAAAGACGGTTTAAAAAATACATATTTACCTGAAAATAACTATAATTAAACTCAAAAATGTATTTTAGCATGGGTATTTTGAGCTCTATTAATTATGATAACATTAGACGACTGAGAACAATAAGTGGATATTATCACATTTATTAATATCTGAAATAAATAAATGTAAAAAAATTATTTTAACATATTAAAAATAGTATATTATTTAGGATTTGGATGATTTGGAAGACGATCTTTTTGGAAGTGCCTTGAAAAAAAAGTTAACTTCGAAATTTACTTCGTCATCACAATCTGCCGCATCGCCAAAGCATAAGCCTGTAATTTCTGATGGTAAAAATCTTTTATTTACACTATTTATTCATATATAAACTCTTTGATATTTCAAAATTTATTAAAAATTAAATAAAATTTAGTTATATAAATGCTTTATAATAGAACATTTTAATAATAAAATATGAAACTTCACTTATGAATAAATTTAAATAATAAACTTGAACAATGTAGAGTGTCTGTTTTATTCTTAACATACAACAGATTTATATATTTTATTTATTGTTGTGTAATAACATCAAAAATTATTGGTATAATCAAAAATTATTCTCTATACAAAGTATCCAGTTAACCATCCATCCAGGAGAAAAAAATCTTTCTGGCATTGTGTGAATGTATGCATATGGTGCATATTTGTTCCATTGCTAAAATAACTGAAGGGAATCAGTTTAAGACAATTTAGTATAACATAAAAATAATCTCTGACTGTAAAGGATAAAGAGAACTTGTTCAAAATGATTGCCTTCGGCATCAATACAAAAACAGATGGTCGATTGTGGCATTATGGATGATGTAGCATTTCTGGTGTCAGTTTCACATGTCCATCATGTATGTTGTCTTTAGTTTTTTTACATCATATGGCACTGTTGGGTTTGCATCATACACTAGTGCTTTCAAGTGACCCCCATGGGAAAAATTCCAGATGGATCAAATCTGGGGAACATGCTGGCCTTGAAACTGTGCCATGTTCATTGTTCTGTGAACCTCTGTCACACATGTGTCTGAAAACGAGGTAGCTTGTCATCACGCCAGTACTAAACCTTATGTAGTTTCATTAATGGCAAGTTATCAAGTCAGAAGTTGTTTTATTTATTTGTCGAAACTGTGTCTTCTTCTTCTTGTTACTTCTAATTCTATGTCACAACTTGGTGCATTTATTGACACTTGGCAAATAATTTCATCATCCACTTTTAATTCATACAGATACGCGTTTCGGGCTTTCGCCCCTCTTCAGTCTGTTACATCAATAGGTTGTGACTTGTGTATACAGTATCAGTCAGGCACCTTCTGTACATCCCACTCCCCTCCCCTCTTCTCCTGACTTGATGGCCTCCCCGCATGCCTGGTAACTTGTAACGTGTCACTTCCCCGAGTGCTGCATACAGCCTCGCCTGCGACTGTATAAACATTCTATTTTAATAATTGTAGCCAGTTTTTATAAATGTCAATGCTTAGGTTCTTGTTAATATTATTTTTGTCTGTAGTAATTTCGTAGCTTTCCTTGAATTTTCTTTTGTACCAATTTTTTTCTTTGTGTACTATTATTGCATCATTCTTATCTATTTTGCAGTTGTGGGTCATGCAATGTTTGTAAAAAACAGAGTTGATTTTATTATACTTCAGGTCTGCGATGTGTTCTTTTTAATCTTGTTTCTAATTTTCGTTTTGTTTCTCCAATGTATACTTTTGGCGGTTCGCATGTGCAAGGTATTTTATAGACAACTTTGGTAGTGTTGTATTTGTCTGGTTGTTTATTTATGTCGGGTTCAGCCTTCTGGATTCTTTTTTGCAAGTTGTTATAGGTTGGGCTAGCTTTATATTTATTTTATCAAAACTTTTGTTTACCTGTTCAAAGAAGCCACGAATGTAGGGGAAGGGTATGTATCTTTACTGTGTTTTTATCTCTGTTTTGTTTATTTTCCAGCCTTTTGTTGTTCATTTTTCTTTCCCAGTTAGTATTTGTTTTGGGTAGGCGTTTAATAGGAATTTAGTTTGCAGTTTGTTGAGGTGTTTTTTCTTCTGTAGTCAGCTTGTTCTGTTCTCGATCTTTTTATACTCCATGATGAATATGTTTCCTTTTATGTACTGCGGAATGTTTGAATTGTAGTTTAACACTTTCCCGATCTCGCATGGTTTTGTGTATGGCTCGAATTCAATCTTGTTTGCTTTCCTGATTATTTTAATGTCGAGGTAATTTATTTCCGTGTTTGCCTACCTTGAATTTGATGTTATCGTNCTTTTATGTACTGCGGAATGTTTGAATTGTAGTTTAACACTTTCCCGATCTCGCATGGTTTTGTGTATGGCTCGAATTCAATCTTGTTTGCTTTCCTGATTATTTTAATGTCGAGGTAATTTATTTCCGTGTTTGCCTACCTTGAATTTGATGTTATCGTTTAATTTGTTTATTTTTTCTTCTATTTCTTCAAATTTTATTATTTCTTGGTCATATAGTATAATAATGTCATCCACATATCGTTTATAGAACGCTATGCCTGTATCGTATGAATTAAAAGTGGATGATGAAATTATTTGCCAAGTGTCGATAAATGTAACAAGAAGTCAGAAGTTGTTTGTCCACTGTCATGTTTAAGATGTTCCGATATTGGTCACTATTCAGGGTTCCATCAATGAAAGTAGGACGAAGAAGCTGCTTACCCCAGTTCTTGCACTGAAAAATTTGCTTGGTATGAAGTATGTCATGTGTATTGTAGAGCATGCATTGTTCAGTGGTGCATACTGTGATGTCTGTATACTCCATTCCAGCAAAAGTGTCTTTTCAGTCATAAAATATGCCAGTCGTAGTTCACCATGTTGTAAATTGAATATCTTGTTGCATCACTCAAATTACTGTGTGGAAACCTCTGCATGTTATGCCGGTTGCAAATAGCAGCAGAATGATGCATGTCATAATGGTGTAATAATATCTAGTGTGATCATGCCCACCACAGTCTGCAACCTAACCTAACCTAACCTAACCTAACCATTGCTGGAAAGATCTCTTTTGCTGCTGTATGGATGTTTAAATGTGCATCCAATATATCTGTTATAATAACCACAAAATTTGACAATTATATTTTAGCTTGAAAGAGTTTTTTTATTATTCAAATTAAATATTTCAAGAAATTGCATATTTTTCTGTTTTCTTATGTTTAGAAATTCTGTTAAATTCTGTTAAATTCACTAAAATCTAATTCCTTTCATTACTTTATTGTATTACATTTAAATATTTTCTGTATCCTCAAGTCATCTTTCAGCATTTGTTTAGCAATTAATTAGTTCATTGTCTGTTTAATTTGCAAGAGAATGGATTTAGTTCTGAAATCCTGTTTTATTAGAAACTTAATCATCACTACAGAATGAAACCATATTGTCATACAGAAGATGCCAATTTATTTTACCAAAATGAAAACTTATTCAGTGATTTCTTGTTTTATCACATAATACACATTTACAAAGTTTGATCAAAAATTACCTGGGCTATGCACATAGCTTTATAGTTAATAAATGTGTAAAATTACTGACATCATATGATCATCAGTTGCAAGTTGACTGCGTATTGAAATAGCTGTTTCTGTGATTCAATTTTTCTTTCTCCCAGCAATTTTTATGATGGAATCAATTGAAGGGTAGCACATCTGTGTGAAATTTTATTTTAAGCTTAGAAAGACTGGGACAGAAACACAGAAGTGGTTCCATTGGATTCTTGCTTTTTTGCATAAGTAGATGACAATGTATCATATTAATGCATCATTTCACTTTTCCTTTCTGGTTTCACCATGTTTGACAAAGAACAAGGTTGTTCTGTCAGTCCCCTCCCACCATACCTCTTGCAGATTGGCCTAGCATGTTCTTTTCATTCCCAAACTGGAGAGCTTGTTAAAAATGCAATTACAAACTGTAGAAGAGAAGAAAATTCGGAAGAAGATCTATGACCAATTCCAAAATGTAACTACAACGAATGCTTCCATAAGTAAAAATTATATTGGCAGTGGTTTGTAATTTCTATGGGGGATTATTTCAAAGGTGACTTTTTTAACATAGAATAATTTTTTTATAAGTAATAACTTTATGATGCTGGTCAAGATATTGTTTGATTATACCTTGTAACTGAAATATATAAACTGATATAATACATTTTATTTCAACTCACAACAGGTGTGTTTGCTCTTTGCTTTCAAACTAAAAACAATGATGATACTTTGCACAATAAAACATTTCTAATGTAATTAACTTCATTCAAATAATGTTTATTTACTTAAAAAGGTGCCATCTCGAGAGATTAAGAACATACTGAGAATCTTATTGTGCACGCTTATGATGTCTAATAACTGGAATTTAATTTAATTTAATTATAAAATCTTTAATTTCTTTATAATTGTGTAATTGTATTTATTTAAGTTTAATTTAACAATAATATTTTTTTAAATGCATATTTACTTATGAAGTGATAGCATTTAATCAAGGAATGTTTTAAAAAGTCTGTAATAAAAATTACAAGTTTAAGTTAAATTTTTGATGATTTATTTATGCTTTGGTTTTACTCAGAAGAAATCCACTGTTTACTTTATTTTCTCAGAATTTGACGAAGACGATCCTTTAGCTGGATTATTATCTGACGAAGATGAAGATAAACCGAAAACGCCTTTGACAAAGAAAAGATCCGTACCATCAACACCTGATAAGAGAGGTAATTGTAATTATATATTGAAGATTTTGAGAACTCCTACGAGCACTGAGAGGGTTTTTACTTTTCAAGCCCATTGTAGATTTGGCCAGGCCCACTTGGGCAGTTGTGTGGTGAGGTAAGGAGCTCGATATATCTGGGAAAAACTCCATTGTAGGCCTGGCCAAACCCATAATGGGCTTGCTAAAAGATAGGGCCTTCTTAATGACCAGAGTAGAAAGAGTTAAATAATAATAATTATGTTGCACATAAGCCCTTCCAACAATATTTATCATTGGCAGAAGTTTAAATTCAAGAACAGAGCATCTTAGCTAAGACAGAAATTTATTTCCAATTGTTTTAATCTGCTCTAGATTTTACACTTTGTTTGGAATTTTATGTGGAATTTTTCGGCATTTTGAACTGATTTTAGACTCTAATAGATGCTTGCTTTGGATCATAAATTTGTCTTAGTTAAAATGCATGCTCTGGAAATTTAAACCTTCATCTATAATAAAGATTGTTGGAACCTGCTTGCATGCAACCTTATTAAGAAATTGATGGAAGAGAAGTGCTATAAATGCTCGAAATGCATATCGTCATAAAAATTAAATAAAATCATTGTATCGGTCACACAATGGTCTTGCCTTCTAGAATAACAAATAAACAAAAGTTTATGTATTTTGCCAATTTATTTTTAAATCTTCTATATTATAACAACTTTACATACCATAATACGTAAATGTAAGTATAAAAACAACTCATAAATATATATTTTTACATGTATTATTTTGTGTTTTGACATACCAAATATGATGTCATTTTAGGAAATGCGGCAGGCGACACACAAAAAGATTTCCAGTCGAAAAAGGCAGACACAATTCTAGACAAAAAAGATGCTGGAATTAAAAAACAAGAAACCGTCCAGCCAAAGAAAAAGGGCATATTTGACGATGATCTAGACGTTTTAGAAAATTTAGGTTTGAGCGGTTCAACTCAGAAAAAGAATGTGGCCGAAAAGAAACCGCAGCCGTCTACAAAAGAAAGTTCTTTCATGAAAGATCTTCTGGGAAATAAAAGCGAAGAAAAACAAGAGAAGCCAAAAACAACAGAATTTAAGTTAGATGAAAAATACAAAATGAAAACTCAAGGTAGAATAAATTTGACCAATTGTATTAATGTAAATGGTTTTAGTAACTTTTAATGTCTTTGACAAACATTTGATTGCACATAGAAATTTTAAGTATTGTATTTTCCTTTACATTGTTATTGTCCTTTAATTAAGAATATTCTTATTTATAAATTGTATTTTATTACATAAAATATGGTTTAAATTACAGGTAATCTATTTCTAATTTTTTTATATTAGACTATAAGAACTGAATTATCCATGAATATTTTGAAAATTTTATTAAAATAGAGTTTTTTGAATTCCTTGTAATAACAAAACTTCATAAATGACTTACACCTTACATTCAACAATTAATACTTAAATACTTCTCATGTAATTTATTCATTACTTAGGGTTTAATTAAATTGAGAAATAACCATTTGGAGTGCATTTTTCAAAGGTAATTTTGTCATTTCCTGACGATTAAATGAGTTATTCACACAAGTATTTAGTGCTTATAAAGAAATTTTATTTTGTTTTCTATTTAAAAATTCCATAAATAATTTGTTAGCTTTATTGTTTGTTTAAATATTAAAGTGAAGATTTTTATCATCATTGGTTTTTTAAAGTGAAATGTGTAGTACTTTAACCTTTCAACAGTGGACTAATTGAGTATGGTTCTACCCCCAGTAGTGGAGAATAAACGTGGGAAATTTTTAAAGTATTTTTCCATGCATTTTTTTTCTATTTACAAAATCTTTTTCTGAAACAGTAAAGTCTAGTAAAGTGGTGTCTTTTTTATTGTTACATAATTCATTTTTTATGTAAATTTTTTTTTTTGCGGTAGTTTTAGGCTAGTTTTTGGCGTTACCCCCAAAAAGAATTTGACGCCTATAGTCATCGCTCACTGCTGAGTGGTTAATGAATGCTTTACAACGCTTTGTATTGATATAGTTCCTGTGATACAATGCGGAAAAAATAAATCTAATATAACTGTGAAGAAACCTATAAACAATACTAATTGATTCTACTGTATTTGGTAATATTATAGTTTGCATTTAAAATTTATTGAAGTATCTGCATGGAGCTTATATAAAACTTCTATCTTGAAAGATGAAGATTTAAAAAATATTCAGTATCATTATAAATCATTAACTCTGTTCAATTACATACCTTGTATTTTTCTATCTAATGTTACTTAAAAAATATGGAAAACAAATTAACATCTTGGCAATTTATATCTTTTAAAATACCATTTGGATCCAGTTTCATACTGTAATACAATCTATATATTAATTAAAAGAGGGTTTTAGTTTGAGTAAACAGCTGGGCTAAAAATATGGTTCAGGTATAAAATTAAAGCTCTTATCTCATAGATGATGCAACCGAGAGATTTGAGAAAGGTGCAGCAGTTTGGGTGTGAAAAAGTGTCAGATGTACAATTTTAAGTCTAAGGGACAAACATGTCAGAGTCCCTCCCTGGGTTAACTTTAACCCGAGCAACTTTTTTCAGGTTTTGCAGTTACGGCAGTGATTCCCTGCCAAGTAAAAAAGTCGTCGACCAACTACATACATATACAGGAATCAGAGTTGCCAATTTTTGATGGGCGATTTCTCCACCTTCCAAACATCTGAAGTAATTCCAAATAACTCGTTTGAAAGAAAATTGTTTTCTTAGGTAGTGTGCAAAATTTCAAGATCTGCTGTAATGCGGTTGTCAAAATATAAGCAATTGAAAAGTGCAAAACTCTCCAAAAAAAAAAAAAAAAGCTGTATTTTCTTATCTGAATTGCTTTTTGTCCATTGACTTATTGTGTTTCATGCAGGTGGACTTATCACACTGGACGGTCATGGAACAGAAAGAAATTTACACACTTTTTTCATTTTCTATGTATTTTATTGCAAATTGCATTTCGGACCTGTCTGGTACCTCATCGATCACTATATATAGATTTCAATATTCTATACAAAATTTGAATTTGGTGAGTTCATCCCGTATCATGGTGTTACACGACTGTGATTTACAAATGTACATCGCTTTTTCACCTCTACTTTAACATTATCTTCAAATATGTTTCCCTCCGCTTACAAGTATGCATTGGTTTGTTTATTTTTCCTCCCTTTCCATCTGTTAGGAAACCCTCCCAAGACTCATGTAGCTGTGTTTTTGTATTATCTTTTTATTATTTCACATCCATTTTGGTTGCAGCATTTAGAAACTGCATTTATTTTATTATACAGATGTGTTCCATGAATTTTGTTTGGAATTTCCTTGGTTTCACCTATATAAATGTTGTATACTGTGCAACTGCACTCTAACTTATAAAGAATATTGTTTTTGTGGTATATTTTCTTCATTTTTAATTTTCCTGGATAATTGGTTATGCTATTCCAGTACTAGTAGAATGCCACTTTCCCTAATTTGCTTCTTGTTTTTTCAAATAAACCAGGTACATAAGTTATTTTAACAAAATTTTATATCTTTGGTATTTTCATTTTTCAGTTTAGCATTTTGACTGTTTCCTTCTCCTTCTCCTCCTTTTTCTTCATCTGGCACTGCAGATGCTTGCAGAGAAAAACTACTGTGTCTAGAAATCTCAGATTTTAAGCTTAAGCCTTTCTCGTTATCAGTGAGGTGCTGGCCAAACTTCTGGGTCGATAGGTCAAAGTTCACAGGGCTTTCCCATAGATCTAATCAGTTTTAATGCTTAATTTTATGCTTATATAAATGAAATTGCATGGAAACTAATGAATTTTATTTGAAATATTACTCAGAATTACAAAAGCTCAAATTTATGCAAATTAAAAATTTTTATAACAATTTGTCTAAATGGTATATTGAAAGCGTTGGGTGGCAGTGTGTTTGGGTGCCAACCGAATCATATGCCGTCATCATAAGTCTTGATTTAATATAATAATACAATTATTAAACAAAAACATCTAAAATATAGAAAAATTATGCCAAATAAAAATTTGACAGTTTAGACGAATGTCAAAATTTTTCTTAGCAGTTTTTCTTTAGTGAAGATAAGCTTGGTGCTTGGAAGCAGTACCCAAAAGATTTTTATCTGTATTATTATTTTCTACATCTCACTTCCAAATGCCAATCTTATCTTTAGTAAAGAAAAATTTTGACTATCGTCTAAATTGTGATAAATTTTTATTCGGTGTAAGTTTCTTACATCTCGGATGAGTTTGTTTGGATTACTGTAAATACTGAGGTCGATAAATGTACATTTTAGTTACTAAGACCATTGTTCTTATCACCCTCTCCCAATCCCAACTCGACCTCCCCAATCTCTCGTCTCCTTGAAAGCCTGGTCAATGCCGGACATACGAGGAAGTATAAACTTTACCTGATCATATTTTATTATCTAGATTTTAGTTTTACTGTAGTGGATATATGGGATAATATAGTTTTTAAAATCTTTGTCTATTATTTCCTGTGAAAATATGCATATATCATTTGTAACCAAAAATTGTCTTTTTAAAAACATTACTCTGAATTAACGAATTGCCTATTCGGTGTGACAAAAATGATGATTTTAGACAGAAACGTGTAATAATTGTTTTAAAATATCTATTTATGACAGAACCTCTAAGTGACATCCACTGATGGGAACGTGACCACCAAACAACAGCTGCTTTTTATTTTGTAAATGTTTTTTTCTTCAAAACATGACTGCCATTTAGAGGTGGCCTTTATTGGACATTAGACTATTAAAATTTTTAATACCAGTAATTACCAGTTGAAAGCATTAATTAAATATGTTGGTACAATTAATTAAGAAAATATTTTTAAAATAAAATTTTTTTCCAAAATATTTTATTTTTAATTAATGCAGTTTCTATTAAATTACAGAGAAAAGTGATTATTTATTTGGTACTTATAGTCCGTCTTCGTCTGTGGGAGAAAGAGGAACGCCAAGAAGAAGAAATGCAGGGTAGGAAAGAACGTTCAATGAGTAAAATATAATTTAAAAATCAAGTTTTAATAATTGGTTACTTCATTTTAGTCTAGACGATAAACCTCAAACTGCAAATGCAGCCATCGGAAGAAGCAACAGTAAAAATGATGACTGGTTATCATCTGCAAAAGACGAAGTTCCAGCGATGTCTCGAAGAAAGTCTGGTTCGTCAGATTGGTTACTGAAAGACAATGGTGCTACCAGTTCTCCGGGTGCCGGAAGGAGAAGACAGACTGACTGGTTAAATAAAGATAACAAAGAATCGTCAAATGCAATAAGCGATAAATCGGATTGGTTAAATTTTGACGGTAAAAGTCCTGTTCAGGCAGAACGGAAAAGTATTACCGATATATTTTCGGCCGATCCCAATAAAGAAAAGGCAACTGTTAGTGAAAACAGCAATCACGTTAATGTTAAACAGCCAGAGAAGAAGGAAGTAAAATTTCAGCCTGCAGATCCCATTACTAATGAAAAATCTTCTCAGCCCGCAAGTGTCGTTTCAAGTCCCGTCAAAGAGCAGAAAATAACAAGTGAGCCACAAGCGAATACTCAATCACAAGTAGCTTTACAACTTCAAAATGAAATGATTGAACAAATAGGATCACTTCAATCAATGGTAAATAATATTTTACTTTGTTTAATATTGAAGATCAATTTTGTATTACGTAATTATAATTATCAATGACTTAATTTAAACACGACACCTTCAAAATATATCTTAGGTCACAAAATTACAAATGGAAAAGGAACATCTAACAAACTCTCTCGAGAATACACAGAAAAGGCATGAAGAAGAATTGAAAATGGCCGAAACACTCAAAAAGTAATAAGAATGTTAAATTTTACTGTGGGATTTCATTCAACTTTAATGAATAATTTAAAATTTTTTTAGAGAACAACAAAACATAATGGAAGAACAATTTATTCAAAAAGAATGGAGGTATTTCTCGTTATATTTTCTTTGTTGTGTATTTCAATTTATGTTTCTATAAATTGAAATTTGTTACCAAAATAGTCATTTCTAAAAAACAGAATGAAAGAAGATTACGAAGAAAAACTTAAGAAGCTCGAAAGATTGGTAGAAGAATTGAAAATAGAGAAAAACGAATTTACCAAAACTCAGAAAGAGAAGTATGAAGATGCAGAACTCAGTCATCGTAAAGAAGTACAGAGGCTTAAAGAATTACATGAGTAACTAAATTTTTATTAATTTGAAACAACCAATTCATTTGTTCATATATAAATGTTTTACTTTTCTAGTCGCGCCGTTGCCGCAATGAAAGAAGAACATGAAGAGGCTCTGGCACGATTGAAAGAATTAAAAGATCAAGAAGTCGAAGCCATTTCTAGCACACAGTCTTACAGCAAGTAAAAATTATTCTAGTTAAAGTTATAAATTTGTAAAATTAATGCCATGTCTTAAATGTTTAATTCTTTGTAGAACAATACAAAATTTAGCAGAACAATTAGAAGTGAGAACTTTAGAATTAAGAGAATTGCAGCATACGGTCGAGGGAAGACATCAAGATGCATTAAAAGAAAGACAAATATTACTCGACACAAAAGAGAAAGATCTCAGATGTAAATACAATTTTATATTTATTAATAAAACAATTTAGAAATGTGGGGGTAAGATAAATTCGTAAAAGCTTTTTCCACATGAAATTTTAAATGTCAAGATGATTAGATTTAAATCATACAGCCATATAATCATTTAGGAGATTTAGGTTCATGCTCTATACAATATTATTTTAGTTTGATGTTTCTGAATATACAGAACAATACAAGCAAAGCAGAATAGTGATTAAATGTTAATTCTTTTAACAAGTTGGAAATAAACATACTATTTTAATGAAGGTTAACGAAACTGGTCGCGCTTTCTTTCTTTAACTTTTAGTTCTTCTTTGGATTAAATTGGATCATTATATCCAAGCTTCTTTTACATGAGAGACAAAGAATAACTTGCCAAAATTACCTGTTAATAATCAAAGGTTGTTACATATATGTAGAAATTAAATAAGCTAAAGTTAATGAATGTTTATAACGTTTTATACATTATATGCATAACAATCATTGTAAGAAATTTTAATTCTATATTATAAACTTATTTCTAGTGAGAGAGCAAAGACTACTAAGGATAAGAGAAGAGGAGGAGGAAGAACGTGTTCGCTTGCAACAATTAGTGATGAGATTAGAATCAAGACTGCAAATTCAGACAAAAGAAACAGAAGAGGTTTCTATCTTTAAAACAAAACTCGTCCTATTAGAAAAGAAATTGTAAAAATAATTTTAAAAATTTTTAGAACCGTTGGGAACACCAGAAAGAAAAGGTTAAATTAGAAGTTCAACAAAAGTCTTTAGTTGAAGAACGGAGGCAATTAGAAGAGCAGTTAGATTTGGAAAGAAGTCAACTAAAACGAGCAAAAGTAATATTAATGGTTAATTTTATTAGTATTTTTGTTTAACAGTTTTAACAAAAATATCAAACTTCAGGACTCTCTGTTACAAGAACAACAAAGATTGTACACCGAAATTGCGCAACAGAGACAACAGTTAACGGCGGAAAGGAGTCAGTTCGAATCTCAGATGAGAAAATGGCAGCAACAAGAATCCGAAAGACTTTCGGCAAAATTAAAAGTATTTTATTTCCGAATATTTGTTTTTGAGAGATTGTTTTGTATTTAAAAAGTCATACTAGTTCTCTATTTTAGGATGAGATTAACTTAAATGCTGAACGGCAGTTTCTACAAGAGGAAAAGAAACAACTGGAAATGAAAAGGCATCAATTAGAACAAGAACTGAAGAATTTACAATTGGACAGGTTAAATGTAGAAAGAGATCTTCAAAAAAATCTAATTGAACAAGAAACTACAAATAAACTCACCCTAGAACTTCAGAAAAAATCTAAAGAAGTCGAGGAAATGTATAAAGTAAGTAAATTTTAGGAATGTCAACAATAATTGTAAGTGATTTTAAAAATAAAAATGTTTTAGTTAGCTATACGTACCAGAGAGGAGGGTAAACTGGCACAAAAACAGGCTCAAGAGATTGAACTTGCAGCTAATAATCAAATAGGCGGACTGACAGCTCAGTTGGAAACAATTAAAATGAAAGAGCAGCAGCTTTTGGAGGTGAGTTAATAAAACTTTATCATCTCTATTTCTACAAATCACCCTAACAAATATCATTATATGATCTAAGGAACAATACTTTATCTATCCTCCATCCTCAGCCATTCGTTTTTAAAATAAAAACTGAGATTAAATTATTAATATAAGATATTTATCAGATTAATAAACAGTAAAATATTGGTTTTTATAGAATGCAGGACATGAAAAGAACGAGGAAAAAATAGTGTTGTTGCATTTCACATTAGTGTAAATTTTTCATAATTTTAATACATAGTAAATATTTACTAAAAACAACATTAATTCTGTAACAAAATTTTTGTCAACAGTTTCAGATAAGAATTATTGTTAGTATGTTTTTACTAGTCCCATAGTGGTATCGTAAAGTTTATAGCACTTCCCAATTCACAGAATGCTTGTTTGATTTCCTATTAAATATGTAAAAGATAGAAAATGTTTGAAAGGACAGGAAAGCATGTTAGTTATTTTTCCAAGGCTGAAAGATAAGTGCCTAAATTGCTGGAGTTGTCTGGTTACAAATTCTGACAAGTAACGCTTTTCCTATTAGGATGTAGAAGGAAAATTGGCCCCTAATTTGGGTATTAACCCTTCACATTTGCTATTGCATCCCGTACATTTATATGCAATAATTGTTTTTTTTGGCAGACACATGTTCATTGTGAAAAATGCTCTAGAAATTTTTATTTTAATATTTCTGATGCCATCTATTTTAGTGAATGCATTAAGTTACCATTTTTGGCAGAAAAATTAGTTTTATTTCAGAATCTGAAAAGTGTCTATTAAGGAAAGACAGATGGTTGACATTGGGAATTTATAGGTCTACAATTATTTCAAATTGCAGTCCAAATATAACTGAAACTTATCTTTCAGATGTAAAGAATAGATTAGCTAATAAATAACTATGTTGTAATGGCTTTTCCTTTGCATATACTCCTAAAAAAATTGTTTCATAAATAGATTTTAAAGATATTTTAAACTTTCTTTTAAAAATCAAGTTGCCATCTCAAATATAATGAGTGTTACTTTAAAGTTTGTTAAATAAATATCTACTTACCACAGTTTGAGGCATTTATATTATTAGTTTTACTATTTGAATTACCAAAAACTTAGTAGCCATTTTATGTTGTTTCCCTAAGGCAATTATTAATCAAAACAAACATTCACTTCAAAATCAAATCTCGTCGTATAATAATAATAGTTATTTGTACAACATGCAACTGTTTATATCTTACAAGTTAGTGATGTAGAGGACAGCAACAAAATTCCATGTAGAGAATTTTAATGAATAATACATTTACTGTGTATGTATGTTTTAAAGTCATTTTAGTCCATTTTTTTTCACCATTAATGTAGTTATAGAAACAAGAGATGAAAATAACATTGTTTTCACAGTTTGTTTAACCTGTACATATGATGAATGATATAAATTATAGTTCTTAAAATAAATATGCATTTAGCTTTCAATGTAGATCAACAAAATAACTGTTTTATCATCCCAATAATAATTATTACAGCAAAGGTTAGCATTAGAAGAAGAAAAGAAACTAATACAAAGCAAAAAATCTTTTATGCTGTGTGCTAATTGCAGAGTGGCTATAGGAAATGCATTTCCAGGTAACTTAGCTTTAAGTATTATTATTTACTCTATCTAATAAAAATAATGATTTATTTTTTTGTTAGCAATTTATACCACAACTTATTTTCCAAACAAAAGGACGTCCACTCCAAATGTAACTGAAAGATCCATCAATGACCCGAATATGTTAATGTGGAAAATTAATGCACAGAAAGTAAGAAGATTAAAAAGATTTGGTCTATTTTTTTGTTAGTTAAATAATAAAATGTTGTCATTTATTTTTAGGATGACGAATTTCTGGAAATAGAGGGATCGTTTTTAAAATCTTTGACTGACCAAACAGGACAGAATGTGTGACACTATGTTTAATATTTGTAAAAAGTTAAATATTTAAACAAAAACTATATGTATATTTTATATAGTAATATTATCACAGTTACATGAAATGCANGGATGATGAATTTCTGGAAATAGAGGGATCGTTTTTAAAATCTTTGACTGACCAAACAGGACAGAATGTGTGACACTATTTTTAATATTTGTAAAAAGTTACTATATGTTATGATTTGCATGTTATAAGGTAGCAAGCAGTGTTTTTTTTTTACAATACACGATACAAGCCCTTCGAGTAGTTTTGTAATGTGGTAAAAGTACTGTGTGCTAACCGAGGGGGCTGAAGCAGAGAGCTTCTCCCCACTTACCGGCTTGGCTGTCAGGAAATGGCTATAGGAGGGCTAAAGGAGTGGGAGGCGTAATGAAGTCGTGATGAGATGTCGGTAGTACTTAACAAGAGTCATTAAATTAGGAATAACATATTTAATATAAACATAAAATTAATACAAATACATTAAAATTACACATTAATTCTAAACAATATGTAAGCGATAATTATAATAAATTCCAAGTTGCGACAATNAAAAATCTCCCCCCCAATCGGCGTTCTTACACTTATTACCGTGAGACACAACAAACTGTATTTCCGAGAATGGTTTTTTGAATTTTTTCAAATGATATGAAGGCCTCATGCCGAGGAGACATGAGATACAATGGAATAATACATACATATAAGAAAGACTTTGGCTGTACACAAGGTGTTTAGCCAGTGGAAAAGAGAGTTAGGGGAAGAAGGGGGGGAGAGGAGATAAACAGTAGAGAAAGGTAGGATATCTCTGAACAGCATACATATGGCTACAGTACCCTCTATGTTTGATGTTGTCGTACAGTTTTTAGGCCTTTTGGGGTGCGAACACCAATGATTGAGTGCTGTCACAAATAGCTAAGTGTAGAAGTTAGTGTCAAGTGGCTGTTAGTAGGAAGACTTACATCTACTTAATACTAATAAAACTGAATGCGAGCACGAATCTTAATACTACTTAACAGCTAGACAGACAGCACAAAAAAAAAAATGAACATGAGAGCAAACTAGATTAGATGAATGGACCGACAGAAGACAAACAAGCAAGACCCCCAAAAAAATTTTTTTAAACATTAACTAACCTATTCTGAATTTTCTAATGGTAGCTGTTTATGTGCTTATTAAGTAACGTCTCTTCAATCCGAAAAAAAACTTCCAGTAGACTACCTCACAGCCAATTCAGGTTATAAAACTCCTTTTATTGCTTTTTTACAGATGCATTTCGAGCCAGGTTAACTTTCTAGCTCCTCTTCAGTGCTTAAGAGTCTCCATAGGTTACAATGGCTTAATTTCACACTTATATGGTACTATTACACTTTTACGGTACTTTTAGTCATATTTACATAGTGTAATAGTACCATATAAGTATGAAATTAAGCCATTGTAACCTATGGAGACACTTAAGCACTGAAGAGGAGCTAGAAAGTTAACCTGGTTCAAAATGCATCTGTAAAAAAGCAATAAAAGGAGTTTTATAACCTGAATTGGCTGTGAGGTAGTCTACCGGAAGTTTTTTTTGGATTGAAGAGACGTTACTTAATAATTAACCCTTTGGTGAACGCACTTTTCAGAAGCTCACGTGAGGGCACATCGCGACAATTACACCGCATATGTAATATTACTTGCTTTAAGTCAATAATTAATTGTTGTTTTGAAAATATGAGTCAGATATACCAGAAAATTAATTTTATGACATTTTAATGAACAAATTGGTTATAAAATATTTAGATAATAAAAAAAAGTTACTTTATATTCATGTGATGTTTACCTTCACACATGGCACACACAATCACTATATTCTGATGCTTTTTGCAAGTATTTCTACCCATTTCTGACAAATTGATTTTTTCCTATTGTTTTTGTGTATGCCACAAATAAAACAAATTCTAGGTTTTTGCTGCTACTTTGGATTGTTCTTTGTTTCCCTTATATTTTTCAAAAATATAGACTAATATAAATTTAAAAATTTATAGAAACTTACGACAGTATTAATTTAATACAGTAGACCCCCTATAACGCTTAGATACATTCCACTTTATGAGAATTTTACGTTATAGGAATCCTTAAATACATGAGCCAATCACAGCCCGACACGTGTGAAGTTTACGGACTAAGGCTGTTTGAAAGGTTTTCTTCTATAAAATTAACCGATTCTAGACTAATTTGACTCAACATTTCCAAACCACATATAATTTTTTGGGAATAATCCGTATAAACTATGCTATAAACAAAAAATTGTAGGATTACTTACCGAGTGTGCACNTCGTTGGATTTTGTCCGGGTGTTGCCCGAGGATGTCTGTGACAGTTCTAACCTTTTCTAATAAAGTTCTTTTTTGTTACTGTTCGTGTTTGCCTGCTTAATGTTAGATCTAAACATCAGTAGGACAGAATGACAAAGACCTTTGGAGACATCATTAATAGAAATAATTTTATGGCCATTGAATAAGAAATGTTTCTTTCACAAGAAATGTATAAAATTAGTGCTGTATTAGACTTATGGTACCTAATTTACATACTGTACAGACGTTAGCAAACTCAATTTACCTGCCTAAACTTTCCGTAGCGTAATGCTGGACAGCGGAAAGTAGTTCGGCTGGTCATCCACTATTGGTCCAGATTCGACCAATCTTGTCACGACACGAGTCGGCGACGACGTTTTACGAGTCCCTTTATACGAATACTGCCGCAATTTTTTTGCTACATTATAGGAATTTCCGTTATAGGGGGAGTCGACTGTATATTTATTTAATAAACTTGCAAATATTGACTTACTTTATTAAAAAAAATTAAACACACATATATAAAAGTATACCAATATTTTAGTTACATGGCAGGGTGCGTAGCGGCAGTTACAACGCAAATGAGGTATTACTTCATTCAAAGACCAGTAACAACTAAATGGTTAGTATAACTGACCCAATTTCATAAACATGTTTTGTCTTGTATTATGAAGAGAGAATACTATGACGAACTTCTGCAATAATTAAGTACAATGTCAAACAAAAGACTATCTTTATTTTGAGGCAATTTGCCGCGGGCGCATTCACCAAAGGGTTAACTAACCTAATCTAACCAGAAAACACACTAAGAGTCCCTAATCTAACTTGCACCAACTAGGACCAACTTAAACTAACTGAATTTAAACTGAAAAAGAAGACAGAAAATAGGAATTAAATACAAAGTTGAAAGGCAGCTATATATTGACAATTGAAACAAAGCAAGGGAAAGCTAATTGCCATCTGTGCCCCCAGAGTGAGTGCTCTCAAGAGCCCCCTAAAGGATATGAATCCGAGTAGATGACAGAACATTGTGTGAATGAGTTGGTGTGGGTTGCAAGGCCAGTTGTACCCTTCAAGAATAGCAGTTCTCATTAAACTAGTCCTAATGTGATGTACGTACTGCAGTGAAAAACTAAGAGAAGTGGTGTTTGGTCCTCCTGAATACCACAATCGCATTGTGGATTGTCCCCAAGGTTAAATCTATGCAAGTATTGCTTAAAGTTAGTGTAAGTAGCTGAGTGAGGATGTAACTAGGGTAAAAGTGACAAAGAGTTGCAGTAGTGTCAACCTTGAGGATGAAAGCGTAGGTGAGCCTATCAGTGATGTCACAATCCTAGCTGTCTTGCCAGAGAATGAAGATTTGCTTCTTGGCATGATTGTTGATGTACGAGATAAGAATGTAACTGGAAGTACTAGTGACTGAAGACTTTGCAGCTTGTTTGCAAGACGGTCAGTGGTCTCGTTGCTGAGAACCCCTACATGACCCAGGACCCATTGGAAATCTACTCTAATGTTGTTAAGTGTATGAGATGGAGGAGTTTTAAGCAGCCATCAGACTTTGCAATCCTATGTAAAGCTACCCTACTGTCAGAATAAATGCAATAGTATAGGTAGTGTCTTGTGTCTTTCCTGCTCCTAATGTGAATTAAGTTCATATAAATAGCTAAAGTTTCTGCCTGTGCTATTGAGCAGTGTGTAGCTAGATGGAAGTAAGCATTGTGAAGCTTGTGGCCTAAGTCAGACTAAACTACAAAACTGGCACCCATCTTGGAACTATCAGTATATCCTAAACATGGGATGATCACCTGGATCTTTGAAGTAAACTTCGGACGAACTGGTGGCAGGGGTGGTGATCGTAAGTCGGGAGGGTATTTTTGCCAATGCTAAATTTTTTGATATCATTGATGAAGGTCAGACTGAGGGGAATCTCACCTACTCTAATTCTAAAAACCCTGTATTATTCCATTAAAAGTTCCACTTTGAAATGGCCATAAAAGAAAAACTACCAGACAAAATGTTATCAAAGTTGGTAATAATTTACAGGAAATCATGGGATTTTATTTTTTACAAAAAAAAAAAAAAAAAAAAAAAAAAGCTCAAACTCACCACCAGCAGGGAATGGCGCTGTATGCAATATTGTTAAATGAAATAAGACATCAGTTGAAAATGTTTTTAATCATTTCTAAAATGTGTTACAAAGCATGTTCAATGTGGTGTTCACCATTTTCTGAAAGCAAGTTAAATTGCATTACTGTGTTCTCAACAGCAGCTCTTAGCATATGAGGAGGAATGTTACAGACATGTCGATGTATCGCATTTTTCAATCCTGTCAAATTGTTTATGTTATCACCATAAACAGTGACTTTGAGCTAACCTCATAGCCAGAAGTCACGGGGGTTGAGACCTGGTGACTGGGTGGTCAAGAAATGGGAAAGTGTTGGCTTATAATCAGGTCATCTGTGAAACATGGACCAATGTGAGGTGGAGCCCTGTACTGCATAAGAATCATGGTGTCTAAAATGCCACATTGCATACAGTGCCATTCCTCACTGGTGGCGAGTTTTGAACTAGTTTTTTTGCAGAAAATAAAATCCCATGACTTCCTGTAAAGTATTACCAACTTTGATAACATTTTGTCCAGTAGTTTTCCTTTTATGGCCATTTCAAAGCAGAACTTTAATTATAAAGACCCTGTATATTGCTTTTATCCCTTAATACCATTTAATACTTAGTCTAAATAAATACACACACATACATATGGGCTTATCATGCCAATGAACAAGATTAATTCACAAATTCTTTAGTGATTATTAATAAAATTCTACAATAAACTAGGGTTCTTTCAACATGTATGTAAAAAAGAACACTCAAAATGCATTTCGGACACAATAAATAATCCCTCTTCAGTCGGCATTTGTACATCATTATAAAATACATTAAAAGGCCATTGTAAACATGATGTTAAGATTATAGAAGGATTAATTATAAAATCATTAATTAAATACACAAAGTACAAAATTAAGAAATACAACAAAAAAAGAAAAAAATGGTAAGTAGGGGTCATAATGACCTTGAGTGTTAATAATTGTAACAACAGATATTTCATTAAGAAATGTAATAAATTAGTAAAACATTGTGATATATCCAGTCTAAAGGAAATAACCAATTGGAAGAATAAAGTAGTAGTAAATAAATCTAATGTTTGTATACCTAAGAAATTAAAAGAATTGTTAGTGAAAGGATTAGATTACAATGCTCCAATATATATGCCAAAATCTAAAATAGCAGTGGAATTAGAGTATATTATTGATAATATTAATGGAATAGAGGAATAAAATTCAGAATATTGTAAAAAAATCACAGAAAATACCTCTAAGTATAAAAAGGATATTAAAGATTTAAAAGAATTTATAAAAAGAACAATAATCTAGTAGTTTTAAAAGCTGATAAATCAAAAGAGTATAATAAACAGCAAACCCAACCACACGTTGTTGTGGCTCAAAATGTATCTATTATAAATGTATAACACTTCCCTCGTGGGGGGAATTTAGAAAAATCCCTTCTTAGTGTACATTCTCTTGACGTAATAAAACGCAATCAAAAACGCAAAAATCACATCTAAAATAGTATAAATAGAAGCAGAGTTCTTTACCGTAAGCCTTAATCCTGTCTATCTCCCCTAGTGGGGGGGATTTCGACACGTATATTATATAAAAACACATGCGTATTCGAATGCAACATTGTGTCAAAGTTTCAAAGGAATCGGAAGGAACAAACGAACATCAATTTTTATTTATATAGATAGATAGATGATGATCTGCTTTAGTTCATCCTCACAGAAAAGCAAACTAAGGTCGTCGTACTCGTAGCACCATCTGTTGGACATAAAAGCCTTAATCTAGATGATATCATTTAATTTATATGAATGTTTACCGGAATAATATACAGCTTATGTCCACCCTGAAGTTCCATTCTAAATATTGGTGAAAGAATTTTAGAAATCGGATGAGTGGTTTCGGAGATAACCCCTACATCCAAACTTACAAACGTTACCTCTTTATAATATTAGTATATATTTAACATTAAATAGTAAAAATAACAAAAATAATAAATTTTACATGATGATTTATATGCTGAATTAATTGTAGATCCTACAGAGAAGATTAAAAAGGATTTAAAAAGTAAAATTAGAAAATAAAATGATAACTTATTACAATTAACTGTGAAGATCGGCTTATTGATTTGGTACAATTTGTGTTAATAAACAATTATTTCCAATTTGATGGCAAATTTTATACCCAAACAAGCGGTATACCCACAGGATCAGTTATAGGCCGGTATCGGCAGAACTGAGTATGGTCAGCATCCAGGGGCAGATCTACTTAGGGACTAATAGGGCTTAAGCCCTGGACCCCCTAGTGTCAAGGGCCCACAAAAATTGAATTATCACCATAAATTTTTAATACTTTTTCATTAACAATGAGCACTTATCATATAGTAAAAAATAGTTAATAGGTTAGGTTTGGTAAAAATGGGGCCCAATTGGACGTAATAAGCTCTAGGCCCCAAAAAACCTAGATCTGCCCATCGGCATTGATAAATAATATAAAAGGTATAAAATTCTGTAACAAGTATGGAGATGATTGTTACATTCTGTATAATAGGGATGAAATTAATCCTAAAATTTTGTTGAATATAGTTAATAATTTAGATAGGAACTTAAAGTTTGAAATAGAACAAAAAAACAATAAAGTCATTTTTAGATGTGTCGACATTAAGAAAATCTATTTCAATAATAGTACATAAATATAAAAAAATCATGTGACATAATAAAATATAATACATATAATTCGGCTGTTGCTAAGCATTGTAACTTTAAGGGATGCAAAATAGTGAGACTCAATAAAAGCAGTAAAATATGAAACATGCTAAAAAATGGAAATACTTTGAACATAGAAATTTTAAGTCAAAACAGAAAATAAGAATTAATGACAATTTGGGCGCAAGAGTACATGTAGAATGGTATGACTTTACTGATAAGAGCAAAAATAAATAAAATAATTAATGACGTAATAGTTGGTGACACTTGAAGTGTATAAATATACAAATTAGCCATAGTGCTCTAGTGGTGGGAGTGCATTGCATCGGCACAATTAATCAATTGTGTTGTAAGATGTTTCTGTCGATTTGGTCGAAGTGTCTATTGTGAGTGTATGTCCATTGCTTTACATATATAGTACTTTAATTATAGAAATAGTAATTTTGGTAATTTGTATTAGTGTTCCAAGGGTAAGAAGTGATGATTGTGAAATTATTATACTGGTTGAGATATCAACAGTGATACTTGGAAGTCATCATGCTTGCAACATCCTTTTAATGTATTTTATAATGTTTATTGATGTATGAATGCCAACTGAAGAGGGACTATTTATTGTGTCTGAAATGCATTTTGAGTGTTCTTTTTTATGTACGTGTTAAGAGAGCCGTAGTTTATTGTAGAATTTTAAGGTGTTAATAATCATTAAAGAATTTGTGAATTAATCTCATTCACTGGTGTGATAAGCCCATATGTATACATGTGTATTTATTTAGACTAAGTATTAGAAACACAAGATCTTGTTAGTATAAGTTTTTATTGGAATTAACTGGGGGCAGAACTGAGAATTTTCAAAAATTGGATGAGTTGTCAAGAACCAATTTCTCAAAAGCAAATACAATTCATTGAAAACAACGAAAATAAAGTAATGCAGTGCTGTCAATCTGCCTTGTATAGATTATGGAGTAATTAGTAACTAACCAATACTGACTGAGAATAAGTCAATTAACATTCTTGGTAATTGAAGATTGAAGTCGATAATTAGAGTTAAAATTCCTCAAAAAGTCAGGTTACAGGGTAACTTGGTCTCTTATTATCGTAATGAGACTAGAATTTCAGACAGCAGAGTGAAACACTTGTTCTCAGTACTCAAATTGGCATGTTTGCAGTCACATGCTCATAAGGATCGCATCCAAGAACTTTCAACATTCAGTATTGAATACCTGGTGGCACAAGTTCTCAGAAATAACAAGAACTTTATATAAGTAAAAGTGTCATATGGTTACTACAAAATTAAATGTAACTGTGTGATATTTATCTGGTGTAATTTAAACATAAAAACACAAAAAAGTACTAAAACCTGTTCAAAACAGAAAAAATAGCATGGCACAATTTCTGTTTTTTCACAGGTTTTACTGTAAATAAGTCATCAGAGATTTCTACTTACCATTACGACATATTTTAATAAGCAAGCAGAAAACAAGTAAAACAGATTTAAGTGAAACTGCTTTTTTAATTGATATTCCTCATCTCCATTCAAGTTTTACAGAGATCATCCATTGCAACCAGATCCTTGTCCTCCCTATTGTATCTTTGAATCTTTTCTTTGGTCATCACAGTAGTCTCTTCCCTTCTGGCTTCTTTTTTAACTGAATGAATAATATAATCACCAACAGAAGGATTTCATAATTTAGAGATAAAGTTTACTACAGCATAACTTTGATAGCAACAGTGCTACTCATTCCAACAAAATGAATGGAACAAAGAAAATGGAGACTGGAGCCAACAAGCCATCTAATTGGAGCTGGAAGAATTTAATCTTCTTGTACTCGTGATTAAATTTCTTCTCCTTATTAATCAGGAAGAGAAATAAAAGAAAATGGTTTGTTCTATTGAATTCTCATATACTGAGTACTCATATATCAGTGTTAATCTCAGCAAACATAATCAATAGTTACCATTGTTTAATGTAATTGAGACAATGATGTTTTTCTTTAAAAAAAAAAACAATAATTTTAACAATTGCAATGAAGATTTTATAAAATATGATTTTTATTTCTTTTAATGATTAAATCAATCCACCGTATCTGCTTTAAGAGATTGTGTGTTGGTTGGCATATCGTTCTTTACATCTTCCGATTCAGAGGATGATACCTCATCTTTTTCTTCTTTAGGCAGCTCGACTGATGGTTTCAATGATAATTCTGTTATTTGTGCTAAATTATACTTCCGAAACTGCAAATAATCCTTTGCTATCCCTAAACAACACACTGTATGTAAGATTTCTACAACAACAGCTAATTTAAAAGATTTCAGATCAGCTTTCCAAGTCGGTCTGAGCTTGCTGATCTCTCGGTAAATCAAAGCCACGATCGCCTCTCTCCCAATGCTATTGTTATAGCGGATTTTAACGATAATGGAAAATGTCTGTTCAGTAGAATTGTCTTTAAATTTATCTAAGAGAGCCTCGACTGATTTTTCGATATTCTCGAGATAAGCCTTGCATGTTATCAGTACAGGCAACATTCGTAGAATACATCGTGTCTTCTGTATTTGTGATTTTTGTATATCTTCGAAAATGTCATACACAAGTTGAGAAGGATCATTTACCTGAGAAAAAATTTCAAATATTATAAATTTTATCTAAAAAACAATGAAGATTTTCTTAAATTTACCTCAGTTCTTATAAACAAACAGTTTGAAACTTTAGTATCTAATTGCTGAAATCTTTTTGTTTTACTCTTCAGATTCTGCAATTCTAATTCCAATTCACTTTCAACATCTTTCTGATCTTCTGTGTTTGTCTCCAACTGAAATAAAATAACAAAAGTTAATAAAACATTCTCTCATTACGTTTTCGATTAATTCTGCATACCGCTTCCGGTCCGAACAGTCTGTCACCGTACTCGTTAAGAATGTTGTATGCTTCTCGAATGCACCGTTTCTCATTGTTATTACACGTGATCAAAATACCAAAAACACCTGGTTGTAGAGTTCCGTACTTTTGCTTCTTTGAAAACTGTTTGTAGAACTTCTTCTTTCTTTTTTTCCTGGTATTCTGATTCATTGTTGACTCTTAATCTATCAAAAAATTGAACAGTAACTAAGAATACATTTTAAAATAAATAATTGTTTGTAAAATATTAATAGATAGCCAATGATAACCTCCAACAATAATTATAATTATATATATATAACTTGACCAATTTATAGTTGTGGTTTTTTGTGGTTGTAGTATAATAATAACCTTCACTCCCGCTGTTTTATAGCATTCAATATAGCAGCACTCGGTTTACAAGATCATGTGGTATTAAAAGATAAAAATACTAAGGGGATAAAATAAATTATTTGTGTATCTGATAAGAGTTAATTATCTGCAATTTGTAGTGATGTGTTTTGTAATGAATTAACTTATTAATTAAAAATAAAATTACCATGTACCCTAACTTTGGGATTTTTTGATCTCCTTCCTCCCTTTGTGACATTTTGTGTACCAACGGATACCACCATCAAAACATTTTGTATTTTCTCTTTGCCCTTAAAAATAAAAAGAACATTGTAACTTTATTGCTTTGATATAGATAAACTCAAAAATTGGGATGTTTGTCTCCTTACTATTTTCCAAAAGTGTGCAATCTACACATTAAAAAAGCAAACCAACGTAAAAAAGGTGGCACTCACGTAAGTCAAAACCCCTAACCTTCCTATTGTGTTCAAGCATGTATATTGGTTCAATCTCCAATCCCCTTTTTGAAGAAACATATTTTACGGATGGCTCCTATAGATGGTCATTATATTAAGCAAAGTCATCCAGCTGATAAGTGACATTTATCACTAGGAAAGTAAGCAGAACGCTTATTAGCTGGAAGCACCTTGAACTTCTCAGTTGCGCTGCCAAATTTGTTTTGAATAAACCACACACTCAGAGTTTTTGGAAGTAAAAGCACACAGATTATTCAAGTAAATATTGTATTTAGAAATTAAAATAAAATTCAAAATCTACAGTTAAAATGAAATATTACACTACGCAAGTCTGCACACCTTCAAAGTCACTTCAGTGTCATCACACAGAAAAATTACATTAGTACAAGCACAGCTCTGAATAAGGAATATGGACCTCCAGACCCTTTGACTTTTCTATCCTATGGGCAGGGGTGCCCATGTCCCCTTTCTGTCTCAGTTGTCCTTTCCTAATACCCAAGGGGCCCCAAGCAACAAAAAAATTCATGACTTCTAGGCTATTCTGCAAATATAAAAGAAACTAATGAACAATATTTGTCCACTGTCCCACGTCACTTTGTTGTACATTGACTAAAACTGCATTCCTCATTTTGGAAGCCAATTTAGCCCAGAGCGCGACTGGCACTACCTTGCAAGAGCACCGAGCCAACGTTGAATTGTAGCACATTGCCTGGTAAAGTGTCTTTAATACAGCCGGATAAGCAAACCAACAGCATCATCCATTTTGTATGAAACGGAGGATGCCATCAGTTTGCTTACCCAGCTGTATTTTACCAGGCAATATGCCCGTAGTTTGAAGCTTCTTGCATAATGTACAATGCCCCTTTTTATAGTCTACATAGATATGGTCTACAGCTATGACAAGGTCCCAACATCCTCATTCATAGCTGCATTTGTACTTATATGTGGTCAGACATGTTGTATTTTAAAATCTAGGTATAAGTAGGCTACTTGATTAAATTTCAGATGCGTATACTGTCATGGCGACGGTTCCGACTGTTCGTACTCTCTTCTGACTCCTCCCAGAGGGGAGCCGCCTTGTGCCAAACGTCACTAGTTATTGATTCACGGTAATTCTTGAACACACGTAGCAATAACTAGTATGAAGTACCGCCATGACAGTATACACATCTGAAATTTAACCGGCTACTTAAAGGACCTAATGACGATTTGGCGCAATTCCTTGACTTCTGGACCTGCAAATTCCGCAAACTTTCCAACAGTTAGAAATGTTTTTAAATTCCCAAATTATATTTACCGTTATTACATATCTATAATTCACAATTTAATTTTTTCGACCACTCAGGATTTACCTAAACTTTGCTCATCTTCCACATGGGCAGGCGAGACGTGATCTTCTGACAATTTTGGAAGTGTTGCCAGATGGAATCCTAAAGATTTTCCTAAATTAAAGAATATAATAAAAAATAAAAAATAAAAAATAAATTCTTCGTGATAAAAATATAATTAATGAATAAAATTTAATTTTTAAAAATATTAGATGTAAGGTTTGTTATTTATTCCGAAAATACATTTTAAATGTATTTTCGGAAATGGAGAAGTCGGCAGGTAACTGCATTCTAAAGAATTCAAATAACGTCATGTTTAATTCATTTGATAGAGAATTCCTATCTTTTTTGTGTCCTGTGTGAATAAATGAGATGCGATTTTGTAAAACGTAATTAATACGGCTTCTGGATGGCTTGCACTAAGGTTTTTTTTTCCATACCCGACGTGGGTTCGGCCGGACCCACGATGGAAGTAATCGAGTAGTGAGAAACAAGATCGACCATGGAAAATTCCTGGGAATTTTTCAATCGCCCCGGATCCCCCAGAATAGTAGGCTAACGCCATAACCGCATCGGCCATCCTATAATCTTAATAGTTCGTAGGTCATTCCGTGTCAACCGTGCAAACCTCCACGCTCGAACCCTTAAATTTTCACAGTTTTATTAAATACTCAAATGTCCCAACACCTCCTCAGTCCTCACAGTCGTGTCAAAATGGCCGATATAAAGCAATTCGGCAAAACGGCCAATCCTCATCTCGATTATTCGGCACGTGTCAAGCAATTCATTTGTATCTGAAGATTGTCGACGATGGAAGAGGAAGGGTGAATCTTTGATGACGTAAGATTGCACCTTCAGACGGTCGAACACCTTCAAAACAGAGAGTATTTTGAAAATTCTGAATAAAGTCAATTCAATTTATGCGAGCATTTTTGGAAATTTGTGTAGCCATTTTAAGCAAGTCTAGTTTGATACTACGATGCGTTCAATCGTGCAACCTATAAGCAGGCCAATTCGAGTGTATAATACACAAGCCGCCATCTGTCGACAATCGACGGTAACACACGTGATTCATCGGTCACGTGGCTGAACTCAGACTGGAGTTCATGGTTAAGAGTTCAACCAGGAAATGTAAACAAAGTACGAAATCAATCAATTGTAACACTTTAAAAGTTTTTATGTGCCAGTGTCTTATTTATAGTCACAAGGAAAAATGGAACTGGAGGAAATACGCGTGGAGGAAATAGGTAAAGACTTTTTTAAATTCATTTTTAAAGAGAAAAGTGTGGATTTTTAAATTTTCGTTCTTAATTGTGAAATATCCGAATTCTTTTTAGTATAACGGCATGTTTATAGATATTATTCATACATCTATACGTGAAACATATGTATTTTGACTTCTTACGACCGTGCTTTCTTCTTAGAATTGCACAGGAAGACGTGCAGAGATCATTATCTACATATAAAATTTCTTTTCCACTTCATTGTCGAAACGGAATGTTTTTGCAAAATTGACTAATATCTATAAATAGTAAGAAATCGATGTAAAACGAGAGCTGTGTAATATATACACCTATAAATACCAACCACCCATCATTTTGTTTAACATCTCTAACCATGGCCTGCATAATGAAAGTTTTGGTTTCATTAAAAGAGTCTAATCGTTTTTATGAAATTTTTAACAAAGAAAACATCTAAATTAAGTAATTAATTGGGTCTTTCTAGTTTATTTAGCTTGGCAAATCCTAATCTTGCTGGTTGGATCTCCTTTTTTCTCTCTGTCTCTATTTTATTTTCCTAACCTGACAATTTTTGCCTCTGTAATTTGTCTATGGCCTTTTAAATTAACTGGACTGTTTAATGAAACAAAATATAAATAAGAGAATGATGAAGATATCCATTTTCCGCACCTTTTCATATTGGCACCGGCGTGAATTCACACACTTTGCGTGCCCTGCATTTTTATCTTGTTGACAAAGATATCCATTTTCCATATCTTTTTGTGTTGGCATCCGTGTGAATTTGCATGCTTTGCATGCCTTGTTTCTAACATATAGATAAACTAATGAAGATAATTTTTGCAGTTATAGATGAAATTATTGTAAGAAGAATTGTATAATTATTAGATACTGCTGCAATGTGTAAGAAGATTAATACAAAATTTCTATCCGATATAAGGTTTTATATCATTTTGGAATATTAAATATAATTAACATATTTGGTGAATTTTAGACTTGAAATATATTATTATATTGTATATTCTTTACAGGGATGGATTTAAGAGATGATAGGGATGATTGTGCTGCTATGATTTTAACTGCTAGCACAAGCTTTATTATTTCTTCCAAATGTATCAATATTTTTTCAGTTTTGTTATGTTTTTATGTTATTAAATTACATAAAATTTTATTTTAGATAATTTTTTTTAAACTAATAAAATGTTTATATATTGTTTATTCCATTACACATTTGCTGTCGGATCTGTCTTTGGTTTTCTATAATAAAATCTCTTGTCCAAAAAGTATTACCGATGTTCTCCGTAGTTAATTTCCTCTGGTATATCTCTCGTTAACACATATTTATGGGGTCAAATCCACAAAATGAGTCTTGTAATGGTGATATATAATATGTTTATTTGGCATGACATATATTTTTATTTTTAGATTTTAGTGCAGATTTAAGATATAATTTTATTTTTACATTTTTGCATAATAAAAACAGAATTACAGTTTATATAGAATTTTATTTATAGAGTTATCTAACATTCATAGACTAACAACTAACAATTGAAATTCTTTTACAATGATTTCTTTCATTATATAAAGCTTTTGTTATGATCCAGTTAGAATATAATGAATATTTTTCTCTCATTTTTAAAAATATACTTTCTTTTATTCCATTTAGAACATTTAAAAAAAATATATATTTTCTTAGCGCAATGTTGCCGTTGAGAACATATCACACAGGAACACTTTTAGAAGAAAAAGGTTGTTTTATTGGTGTGGTTATTGGTGGTTATATATCACCATTACAACCTTTTTCCTCTGAAAGTGTTCCTGTGTGACGTGTTCTCAACAGCAACATTGTGCTAAGAAAATACATAAAATAGAGAACAAGAAGCAACCAAGATTTAAAAAAATGTTTATTAATTAACACTAATTGACAATCTGTCTTTTCTTTGTTAAATCTGGCATCTTGGCACTCCTAGATGATTGCCTAGGTTTACCTAATGGTAAAACTGGCTCCAATATACGTACCAATTAAAACAAGTTTATATATTATTGAAATATATTCTCTGAAAATTTAATAAATTGAAACTTAATTAGCATTCTTGCTTCATAAAAACTAAAATTAAAAAAAATTTATAAATTAATGAATACATATTCATCCGTAAAACTATTTTGTTTACATATTATTCACTTACTAAGGAAACTATACTTGACTTAATTTCTGTTTAAAAAAATTAATTCAATGATTCAAAAAAAATGTTAAAATTAATTAAGCATGAATTAAGTTCATTGAAATTAGCTTATTTCTTTTATACAAATAACTATGTGTTCACACTTCAGCAAGTAAAGATAAAAAAATAAGTAAATAAGTACATATAATTTTCTCTAATGGCCTTTAAATCAAAATAAAAATTTGTAAAGTGTTACTGCTTTACTTTTTGCATTGTCAGTTAATGCTGTTTTATTTTATGTGATTTATGTATAGAAAAAGTCCTTTAATTTTACTAAATATAAAGGATATAAAGTGATCGTAAAATTTCTATACATGAGACTGTCGTGGGTTTTCCAGTTAGAGAATATCTGAATAATAATTAACGTGATAAACTTTTAATCTAGCACATTTAATCCACACTTCCATTCTGTTGGAAAATTTGCTATCTTTAAAATAGCTTGAGTAAGTTCAAAAATTAGCAATTAATAAAGTTAAGTGTGCTGGATTAAAGGTTTATTCTGTGAATTGTTGACATTGAGTACCCAGTTAGTGTGATAACTCAATGATAAATTCAGTGGACAATAAATACAAGCAATCCATTAATTACATGTAGTTTTTAAGCCATTTTTGAACCCCCTTTCCACTTGTCTGTCTTCTATAATTATGTGTTCTTGATCCCTCTTGATATTGAATAAATAACTTAAGAAAGTTCTGCAGATATTTTCTAGTAGGTAATCTTATAATAACAAATTTGTATGAAATTAATATCACTAAAAGGTCCATGTAGATTGACCATCTCCCTTCCCCATTGTATACAATGATGTTCTTTTAGCAACACTTCTCCTTCCCTTAAACTGTACATGTAATTAATATACAGCCCTGTATGATGTGGCTCAAAGTTCAGACAAAAGCCAACTTGTGACATGCTTTGGGACATTTTCAATGATTTTTCAACCCCTTTATACATCAGACTGAAGAGCTAAAAACAATACGAGGGAGTTCTTTAAAGAGTTAGAGCCATCAATATGAAGATCTCATCTGTCTTTGGAAAAATTAAAAATTTGTGAAAATACACATAATTTTTATGCTTCTATGTAGAGTTTTCGGTTTAATTATTTATTTTGATATAATATAATTCCCCATTAACTTAAATTTACATAAAGATAAGCAAACTCAAGCAAATGTTTTAAATTATATTCATACTACCCTTTCAACAATTTAAAGTAAATGCTAGATTCCATTATGAAATGTCGGGATACAATAATGAAGTATAAAATAAATTATATATCATTGCAAACTCGTTATCTTCTAATGATGAAATTATATATTCAGTTGTGATTAACATTAAATTTATCTTTTTCCTATAAGTTTACACATATTTATGAATGGTTTATTAGACAAGAATAAATTCAATAATTAGAAATTTAAATGGTAAAACATTCAAGTCAAAAAGCTTAATAATATATATTGATATAGGCAAAACATAGAAACTATAGAATTTTTTCTGTTTCTATTTACATTATGTAGACAACAGAAAATGCATATGATCTATTTTAAATATAAAATAATTCATTTTAGCTTGATCCAGTATGAATGTATTGATGGCTGAGGGGTTAAGGTGTCAACCTACTGCTCTGGGAATCCAGGATTAAATCTGGATGAGAATCTTCTCGGAAATTTTTAGCGGGTGGTATATCTTGGATATGTCAAGCTCTGTCCGTCATTGCCTCCATCGTGGGCCTGGCCAAACTCACAATGGGCATGAAAAAACAATTGTCTAAATGCCCACAAGACAGAGAACAAAAACTAAAAAGCTATGAACTTATGATTAAATGAAATTAGCTTTTATTGAATATAATTTTTTAACTTAATTAAAAAAATTTGAAAATGCATTTTGATATTAGGATACGAAGGAGTAAGTAATCAGCAAAATGAGTATTCTTCGTACGAAGAACTTTATCCACAAGAAAGTGAACATCAGTCGTCTGAAAATCAGGGTGAGAAGATCGATTGGTCAGCAGTCGTTAAAACACTTTTACCCAGTCGATCGAAAACGAGGAGTCTTCACAGGCATAAAGTATTAGACAATGTCGTTCCTCATTTTGTGACTCTGCCGAGAAAGTCAGAACAATCTCTGGACATTCATATAGCAAATAGATTGAGGAGGTATGTTCATGAAATATCCAGCCAGAAAAAAAAGGATGATATGGTGCGATCTCATTCGTTTAATGACTACTTGTTGAATGACTCTTTTCAAAAACAGAATGCAAATGCTTATCAGGTAGGAATTATTAATAAAGCAAATATAAATAATGTAATACTAAATCTCATTTTCATAACTTGATAGTGTATAAGTTACAAACAATACAACCAAAGCTCTGAATCAACACTCAGTTTAACCCATTGGATTATTTATTGATCACATTAAGGCTAATTTAATTAATTAATCATCAAAATTTTGCCTAGAGATAAACAGTTGTGCTACCATCTGTATAAAGAAAATAGCCCTAAGTATAGCTGAAAAATAATTCAGTGATTTAAGTTTATTTTATAAATTATACAATTATATTAATTCTGCCTCTGTGTCCTTAATATTTCAAATTTTGTTTTCATATTGTCCACGTAGACCTTGTTTACGAATAGGATTTATACTGGTATAGTTTCGAATTAGCAAAGACAAGTTTTGACTAAGACTTCCTTCCTTTGCTAATTCAAGCTACACCAGTATAAGTCTTATTTGTAATCAAGGTCTACGTGGATAATATAAAAACAAAATATACAATTATATGTTACTGTATAGGGATTCACCCATATTATTGTGAATCATGTTTCAATAAATAATCATGATTTATAGATTTATCAAGATTTAGAATCTAAGTATCTCAATATTGTGAAAATGAAGGTTCATATTATATTGTTCATAATACTTTTTAATTATTTAGTCTTATGCACAAACTAATTTTTTAAACGAAAGTGGAAATGAATGTTGCGATCCAAGAATATTACCAATACCAATGGCCAGGAAACGTTTGTACAAGTAAGTTTAATGATTTTAATTTATAAAAATCATGTTTATAAGATAACGTGTTGTGTACATGCGATATCCAAACTATATTCTAAACATAATGGAATTTTTCTAGATTTCTTGTTATAGTTTTACTTTATAATTAATTACATTCAATAATTGTATAAAAGAGAAGCTATTCTAGCTCAGTGAATTGGATTAAAGCCAGTTTAATAAATTATAATTGAATTAGTAAAGAGAAATTAATTGTAGCAGTAATATAATTTTTATCCGAAAAGGTTCTATCTTTAGGCCAATTTTTTTCTTACAGAACACAATTCTAAATTAATTATTAAAATATTAATTTAATTATAATTATTAAGTTTAGCAAGAGGTGACACCAAATGCTTACTTCTAGTGCCAAATTACTCAGCATTTAATTATTAATAGTAGTAGTATAGCCCAATATAATGCAGCAATCATTTGACTTTAACATGCTTTTTAAACATTAAAAGTATTATGAGGATTTTCTATAAACAGTAAAAGGATTATAAGAGTCAAGACTTTTTATTTGGGTCTGATGATGGGACGGTGAAGTTCCGAAAAACATTTAACCAAATAAAAAGTTTTGACTTATAATCATTGTAGTGTTATTCTGAGAAATAAGTAGTTAAACAAACATCATAGAGTGTGCTTAAACAAACTTTATGTAGGCTACATATAACACAGTGATAAGTATTTGTGTGTCTAAACGTATCTAAACAGAAAACGTACGGTAACACATGGTATTTCATGCTTTAATGTTTAGAACTGGTTTAATTAATTGTAAAATTGTATTTATAATGACATAATAAATTATTGTACACTAGACTTGTTAATTCAGGTATTTCTTGCACAGAAGGGTGCCAATTAGCAAGAGTGCTGGATTATCGAGAATGTATAAACTTAAATGATGTGATCTGTCAGCCTTCGGTATTGATTCTGTTTGGAACTTGCTGTTTTTGTTATTGTGAAATTATGTACAGTATTGTAAAATTAATTCTTTATTAACAAAATCTTCAAACAGTATTGATTTTCAAACTGAAACATGAAACAGTATCTTAACATAAACAATTTGTACAACTGGATACAGTTCAAATAAACACATTAACACCAAAATCCAGCAGTAAAAAACACTTTAATAGGCAAACAAATGTTTTTGTCTCTGTTAAATGGTCATTCTCAACTTTGTAAACTTAGTAAATTCAAATGGAGATTTCAATTAGAACATAATTTGAGTTCTAATTGTGATCGCCATTTGAATTTACAATTTTCTGCAAAAGTTTTGTTTCCCAGAACTTAGGTATTAATGCTAATTTATACCATCCTTAGCATGAACAAACACTTCGTAATATATCAAAAGCAGTTTTTGATGATAATTTCCATTTCATTTACCAATTATTTTTCATGTAACATTAAAATAATAGACAAGAAAATATAAGTATGTACTCATATATATTTAATTTTTAAACTTTTATTTAAAATATCTTATATTGAAAGAGATTTCTGAGAAAAAACAATTAATCGACACTTGATTTATCTGTTACAATTAATTACCAGGTTTTATTATCAGAAAATCAATTTATCTTTCGTATTATCCTTAAATAAACAAAGATTAAGTAAGCAACCAATCTACTTGTGTGATATTATCTATTACATGTTGAGATTAGTTATTTTAGAATATTATGTGAATTGAAGTTTCACTTTAAAGAATGGATGATAGAAGTGGAAATAGAGGTTATTCTAATTATGGATATTTGGAGGAGTCACAGAATGATACTTCTGGAAATTTTTCATTTGGGATACAACATGATTGGCAATTTAATTATAGAAGACATGGTCACGATAAATTTGTTCATAACCAGCCTGCCCCAATAATGAATGATTCTAGAAGATTTGTGCCTCATGCATCAGATTCTACTTCTAGACTCCCAGATGTGAACTGTTCATATGAAATGAATAATCCTGACAGCTACAATGGATTCCATTCGTCTAATTTCTATGAAGATGAAGGTAAGCATCATAAATTTAAGAAAGCTGTACCTAAATATGTTCAAGAACTATGGAATGAAAATGACAATCCTTTACCACTTACTACATTGAAGATGGATTATAAATACGATGGTGGAGTAAACAAAACGAAAACTCAACAAAACTGGAAAGATGGAGGGCGCAAAGATGAAAATCAATCATTTCCTCTTAATGTGTATAGCCGTTATGACGCCGAAAGAAAATTTAAAAATAAAAAGATCGATGGTAATGATAGCTATAGAATTAATCAGAATTTGAGAGGCAAACAAGATGAGAATAGAGTTAGACCGGCAGTTATTAGCAGTTATGATATAGAGGAAGAGCCCTACGACCGGAATTTATCTTATAAGGATAGTTACAGCATTCGAAACCAAAATAGACTGCATGATGAAATGCGATCTCGAATGCCTTATAATAACAAACCACATTCTCAAAACACAGATATGTATACATACAAAATTGAAGATATATCGAGTGTTCCGGGACCTTCAACTGAATTTCCAATCTTAGATATTAGGCAGTCTTCGCTCTCTCAAAGTCACACGAAACAAAACTGGATCAATAGTTTTCGGGGCAGAAAATATAATAGATCAGAAAATATAAGAGATATTGACAATTCATCCGAATCTATTGAAAGAATGAATAACTTATTGGAGAGTTATACAAATAAACCATTTCAAACAATGAGAGATGCAAGAAGGATTGCAGAACAACTAGGAATGGAATTCGACGATGATGACAAAGATTCACAAGATGAATTAGACGATACAGACGATTCCGAAATGAATAGATTTCAAGATAGAATAAGAAAATGTTGGGCTAAATATTGTTGGAGTACCAAAAAGCATTCGCATGCCATTGAAAATATAGAAAGGTTTGATTCTGAAATTTTTATCTGTTAAATTTATGATAGTTTTATATAGAAAACTTGTCGGTAACGTCATTTCCAATAGATATATACATCAGTTTCATTGATAAGGTTTGTAAACATAGTTATCCAGTTCTAAAGTTTTGCAAATTTATTGAGTGTCATTTTTTTAAGCAATTTTATTAATATAAAATGAATAACAAGTTTATTATACATAATATCAAGATTCATGTAGATAATAAAACTTATATAGGAGAAAATATTACTACAGTAGAATCCTGCTAGTCCGAACTAATTGGGACTGAGCCCTATTCGGATTAGCAGATTTTCAGATTAGCCAAATAATTGAAATAATGCATAAGCAAACAGTAAAACAGGTCCAGTTTATATGATCCAATACTATCAATGACTTTTGTTTCTGTTTTTGTAAGTACAGTATAAATCTGCTGTTTTAATAGATTATGGCAAACTCTGATTTATTAATTTTGTACAGTATTAATACAGTACTGAATCTCATATATGTTATACAGTATTTAATATAATACTACAATAAATACAACTTTTTTTTTTTGTTATGAAATTCTAAATCTTTTTATACCATTAATATCATTTAAATTCAACTGGAAAATACAAAAAACGGATATTTTGTGAGCTAAAAAATTTCCTCTCCACTAACTGAAACATGTTCGGATTAGGCGGATGTTTGGATTGGTGGTGTTCGGACTAGCGGGACTCTACTCTACTAAAATATGTTTGTGATATTATAATTATCAGCATCATTTTTTCATATTATTATTTTTTCTTGTCATATAATTCTTTAATTAAATTTTTCTTGTTTATATTTAAAATATGAGAAAAAGTATTTATACAAAATATAATAAGAAAACAAAAACTGAAGGTCACAGATGTAGATGTAATATATAATAGATATTTACTAATAAAACGAAAGTAACGAAATGGAATTTTAAAATCAGAAATATCTTTTTAGGATATTGTTGTTATGGTTATCAACACGTGAAACTATGTTGCATAATATAATTAAATAAACTAATTTTATTAACAACTATCTTCAAATTTCATTAAATTCTTTAATAAATCTTGTGTTTATACAAATGATATATATGATTTCCGTTAAAAAAGTTTTAATTTTGATATTATTATTTTCTGTTGTGTACTTACAGGAGGTGATGCAGGGGTGTTGGATCTTTGGGGTTTTTAGGAATAAAATTTAAACTAAAAAAGTTTACAAATAAATAAATATATACTAATATATTTAATTTTTCTTTATTCTGATTATACTTTTTACACGATTCTCCCAGATCGCTCCCAGAACAAAATCTTGCTTAAGCCACTGATTATTATTATTATTATTTATTAATAAAATAAAATGTAATAACAATACAGTCCTACTGAATAATTTAAAACATTTAATTCAGTATTTAAATAAATGTCTTTGAACTTCTAAGAATTTTGTATTCAGAAGAAAGTTTCCAAATGTAAATTTTAGAATAAATGAAATTTGTATTTGTAAAATGAGAAAAATTTATAATTATGAATTAAATGGTTAAGTTGCAGAGTAAAAATAAAAGCAGTTGCCGAGAATAAAATTTAAAGTTTTGAATTGTATTCATACTTCAGTGTACTTTATTCACAGTTATAGATCATGCAAATTATCAAATGCTGTTACAATCATTGCAGAAATGGCATCTTTGTTCCCACATCCAGAGACAGGATGATGCCATTAAAGCATCAGCTTACAGCTCTGGGAATCCAGGATAGAATCCAAGGAAACTTTCTAGGAATTTTCAGTTTCATCCCAGATGTGTCTGGCCTCTTCCTCACACCTAGCTATTGTGGGCCTGGAAGAATCCATGATGGATGTGTTTAAAAAGGCCCTCTTAGTGACCACAGGGTGGAAAGAAAGGGGGGAAAACCCAGAAACAGATTGAAGTCTCGCTACAGAACTCAACGATTTTGAGCTTTGCTAACTTACTTGAATTCAATTCTGCTGTCCAAATTTTATTATTGAAATGCTTTTACTATTCTTGAAAAGAATTTGAATTGAGACTTTTTAATGGAATTGGCATTGATACTGGAATTGTTACAAATTTTAATATCATCCCATCACTAATTTTGTATAATTTACAATAATACATACAGTAAACTAAGAACTACAATGGGCTCCTAAGTTTGCTTCAGGTCCAGAGAAAAATTCTCATCTCCCTTGCTCTTACAATGACCCTGCTTATAACATTGAATTTAATAAAGAATAAATTTTACAATTATTATATCAGTGCACATAATTTCACAATAACAAAAACAGTATAACTCCAAATAGAATAAGTACTGAAGAGCACGTAGGAGTAAAACTGTGTTGACGACAACATAAGAGAAAACTGAATTGGATACGTTCCTTGAGCCAACATGCCCTTATTTTTAGATGCAAGAAATGTTTTTTCCTTTTTTGCAGTTTTCGTAAGTTAATAAAACTGTGTTTATCAACAAAAAAATACTTCTTGTTTCTGAAAACAAGTGAGCATCAGCTCAAGGAACTTAGGAATGTATCCAATTAAGTTTTCTCTTACTGAAGGTCATCAAGCTTGAAAGAACCAGCAAGGTTTGAAAGCACTTGGCTTTATGTATTTAATAAATTAATTCCAATAAAGCCTGTTTTATTAAGTTTTTGAAGGTTTTCGAATAAGGAAGCTTAGCAATTAATCAAAATTCAATATAATAGTTTTACATAAAAATTCAATTGATTTTAAAGCTAATTTATCTCTAAAATAGTTAATTACTTATTGTATAAAATGTAAATAAATAAATTTTTTAGGAGGCATTTTGGGGATCTGACAAAGAGTTATTCGTCAAAAAGAAAATTAGATCAAAGCCAGCAAAAAGTATGTTAATGTAATACAAAGTTCTCATAAATTTAACTCGGTTTTAAAATTTATTTATTTATTTTTTATATATCTAGATGAAACAAAATTGCCAAGAATTTTGGAATATCTTAAGATCTCCTTTTCTATTATGGAATAATGATTTGAAACATATTGAAGGTATAAATTTATATAAAAGTATATTTATTCATATGGTATCTAATTTAATAACTTTATATATATACAGTAGAGCCTCGAAAACTCGGCCTAATGTGGACCGAAGGGTGGCCGAGTTTGTGAAAATGCCGTGTTATCGGGAATGGGGTTAAAAAAATAAGTATGAGTGTTTCCTCAAAAAATACTGTACTGTTCTTGTATGTATTGTTTACTTGAGAATACAACAGAGAATAAACTGCCCAAATACCCTTAAACAAAGGAAAAGTACGTCTTTTATGAAGGCATAGAGCCTTTACTACATGAAAATGAAAATTAATGAATACACTGTGCACAGTAATTTACCTGATCAGACAGACATCAGAAAAATACTTTATGAGGCATAAAGCTGTCTATAATGAAAATTAATTAACTAAGGATTTTTTTGTCCTGCCAGGGTGTGGCCGAGTTATCCGGAGTGCCGAGTTTTCGAGGCTCTACTGTACTATAAATCTGCAAACCTGATTTTTTAATTCATGCCAAATGATCTGCTGTTTTATCAGGCTATAATAAGGCTAATTTAATAATTAGATATAAAGTCAAATTATTTTATAACTTATTATTAAATTTGCTTTATTGTAGCCTGATAATATAGCAGATCATTTGGCTTTGCTAATTTTAATTAATAAAGTTTTGTTATTAAATTTTAAGCATTTTATTTTTATAGGTCATTATGGCACTGGAATTGTTTCATTTTTCTTTTTCCTACGTTGGTTGATTTATCTGAATCTTCTTATGACCGTTCTTATAATGGCCGTGATTATTGTACCCGAGATCTTATTCACGGTCAAAGAGATGAATCCGACAAACGAAATAATTATTTTGCCATTTTTAGAAAAAAATAACTTATGCATGTCGGAAAATTTGACTTGTTCTTCATACTATGAATATGTAAGTTCATTTGATTCGGTTCATCAATGCTCGAGTAATTACTCTGAAACTATTCAAGGATATAATTCGACTTTATTAGACGCTTTCCAGCATGTGCTACAGGGAACAGTAAGTCTAAACATCGTTTTAAATACTGTTTTTATACTATTTTAAGTAGTTTATTTATTATATTTTTATTAAAGGGTTTTATGGAGCTGACACCAATGTTTATTGGTTGGTATAAACCAACTCTCTTGAGGAAATTTAAACCGTACTACGAATTATCGGAAGCTTATATTTTTGTTACGATTTGCTATTTTCTTCTGTGCCTTATCATGATGGTTTCTTAGTAGGTGTTATTATATTTTTTGATAATTGATAAGGTAATTTAATTCATATAAGAATTATTTTTTTATTTTCTAGTACAAGAGAAAGTGTAAGAGAAAATGTCCTCAAAACAGAGAATCAATTGCAGAAATACTGTAATATAATCTTTACCAGTTGGGATTTTAGCATTGAAGATAAAAAATTAGCGGGAATGAAACATAATTATTTATTTCTAAAAATTAAGGTAATTATCAATTCAATAATTAATTTACAGGTAAATTTAATATTAAATGTTACATTAATTACTATTTTTATTTAATTAAGTAAAGTAATATCAAACGTGAGGAAAAATATATCATATTTAAGTATTTTTTAAGACACTCCAGTTTTCATTTTATATACAGAATGATGGTGATACATTCTGAGAAATACATCATTACACAAACATCATACATCAAACATATTTAGACAAACCTGTATGGTATATTTGGTTCCTTCAAATTAAACGTGGACTGTAGTGACAACATCGATGATAATGAGGGAGAGTAGGGTGCCACCGTACAGGTGGATGGAGCATATCTCTAAATGAGCGAATGAATTGTTAGGCATCAAGTATACTATGTCTGTAAATCCTTACATGTACAATAAATCACATACTTTCATTGGATGTCTGAGTCTACGTTCGGCCCACCAGTAGCCAAGTGGTCTTCGTTCTCTGAACTCTGAGAGTTCAGTTGTGGGTTCGTGCCTCACTCGGATGGGCTGGCCACATAGAGTTTTCCAGGTTTTCTCCATGTCTGTAACACCTAAATAGGGGCCAGTTTCCCTTAAAAAGACCTCCCGGAAAGCATCCCCCCTAGGCAGATCGCCCAAGTGTTGTGTTGCCATAACTAAACAAACGAAACAAAACAAAACGAGTCTACATTTCATTTGAAGAAATCAAATAGTATCTAAGTATGTGGGTCATTCTATGTTAGTTCAGGCAGGAGTTTTTATTTTGATTTTACTGATGGAATAAACAAGAATCATATTTTATGACCAAACATTAAAAATAATTTATTATTGATATTTTACTGAAGATTAACGTGATATGACAGTATTTAATTGGCAAACAGAAATTGAGTTTTAAAATTATTTGATTTATTAGATATATTTTTAACGTACATAAAGTTCACCAACCTTACGTATGCCTTGTATATAAGTGAGAAAACCGTTACCAACATTTTTGATCTACCTAAGACCTAAAACATTGATTTATGCCTTGTTATCAGAAGATTAATTTATTTGTTTAACTTATTTGTTTTATTAATATTGCAAAATTGAAACAAAAAATTAATTATTTTGCCAGTTATGCTATCTGGACCTCTGTCCTGGTAGTGTAGCTGGCAATGCATGCATATTGTAAGTGGAAGTTTCGAGTTTGAATCCCACTCTGAATTAATCTTCTCTTCCAAAATATTCTAAAATTAATTAATTTAATTCTAATTATTAAGTTTAGGTTAATATCCTTTGAAGATAATTTGCTGTTTAAGAAAATTATTTTAGGAAATATTTATAATAATTTTTAACAGTCTAATATTACATTCTGTAGTTAACATGAAGAATGCAATGTTGAATATTGTGAACACTTAGTTGCAAATTATCAAAATTAAATAGAAATAATTATAATCTAATAATCTAATAAATACATCATATTAAAATTATAATGATAAAGAATTTACATTATACATTATACTTCTTCTTCTTCGTCTGGCATTATGGGGCCTTGGAGGCCCTTAGCCGCAGTCACAGTCCTTCTCCATCTCATTTGGTCTATAGCCTGTCTCTTCCAATCTTCGATTCTGAGGTCTTGAAGATCTTCAGTGACTCCATCTATCCACCTTTATCTGGGATGGCCTCTTGGCCTCTTCCTTTTTTCCTCATAGTGGAGCCCTTGTGAAGCTGTTGCCATCATAGGAAGTATTGCGACATGGCCTAGCCACTGTAATCTTCTGGCCTTAATCACCTATATATTATACACTGTAATAATATTTTGAATAAAGCATTCTCAATTATTATTTGTACTGGATTTTATTAAAACTAAATATTACAAAACCTAAGATAAGTATTTTTTAAAATAATTTTTAATTATTATGTTCCAGGTCCATTTAGCAGAAAATCGTAGACTTAAAGAAATAAGCAATTGGTCAACGTGTAAAAAGATATCGGTTACCATTCTGCGAATTGCAGTTAATGTTGTTGTTATTGCAATATTATGTGGAGCTAGTTATCTCATTTATAAAGCTATCATGTTATCATTAAAAGATGATGTAAGTAACTTTAAATGTACATAATGCTTATTTCATAGTTCTATAATGTTTTTAACAAAATAATTTATTATTGGTACTTGGTATTTTAAACCTTTTTTTAAACAATTAAAACATAAGCTTACACGGATGTCCAAAATTAAAGCAACAAAAGAAAAACTTGTGTAAAATTAACACTATAAAACACGAGTAGCTGAAACCTTATGTTGTATGTAAATCAGCTAAGTGCTATCCTGTAAGGCACTTTACTGATTTACAAATCTTAAGACAGGATAGCAGCCATGCTACAAAATGTAATGTGCTATGTATTAATATATATCAAAATTGTTTCTGACAGTCATCTGCTAGGACTGCTAACAAGTGTTCCTGATACATTTGTAGATCCAAATGCCTCAGAAAATGTATTTGTATGATTTTTGATGGAGTGTTTATACTTGCCAACCTTTGGTATGAAGAATAGCTGGAGCATTAGTAGAAAAACACTGACAGCATAAAACGCAAAAAATTTATTATTAACATTGATTAACAATAACTAAAATCTTCTCACTCAAGTGAGAAGATTTTAGTTATTAACATTGATATTGCACAAGGCTTGTATTAAGTACCTTTAATAAACAAAATTTAATTTATCTCTGCATATGATACTTTATAAATCTATTGCCATAAACACTGTCAAGAGTATGGCAAAGTCTTTATACTCTAACATCACAATTTTAGGAATTTTAGGTGTTCTATCTTGATCTGTTGGGAGTCTTGATATTGTTGCATGATGAATGCTTCTTGCTATATGCATTTGTGTTATGATTTGCTTTGTTAGTGTTAGAGTGTACTTGTGACAGTTGCTATCACTTGTGACAGTTGCTATCAGTTAGTTTATTGACTTTGCAATTATTAAGGACAATGATTTTTCTGGTTGTGATTTATTTCCTATCTTAAGTGATGAATCAGATGTTTCTTCTTTTTGGGCAGAGAAATGTAGCGCTATTCAATAATTTGGTCTAACTGTAAAAGTAACTCATTTCCTTCTGCTGATGAGTTAGCCATAATTGATTTAACTGCCAATGTAAGGGCATTAACATTGCCAGACTTGAAGATGCAATTTATCATATCTGCCATTAAAATTATCATATTTCAGCTAAAATTCTTATACCTATACCACCATATAATTACTGTATATAAAAATATCAATCTTGGTTCTTTCCCAAATGAATGAATCTGAGATTGTCATTCTGGTTCATTTTAGTCATTTGTAATAAAATACACACTATATCGTTAGTGTATACTATATATTGGTGTTAGACTCATTAATTGAAGTTTTTATATAAAAATATGAAATTATTTAAAAACACTGACAGAAGGGAAAAGTGGCCTGTCCACTGATGGAGCGTACAAGACGCTGTCGGTCGGCACCAAATGCTGATGGTTGGCAAAGTATGAGTATTGTTCATTTCTGCATTTCTGCCATGTACCATTTGTGCACGCTGCTTTAATTTTGTAAACAGTTTACAAATCGTAATAAAGTGAAATGCCATTGCAATGAAATTGTGAGATCACTGAAATACATTTTTCATCATAGTGAAATTTTGTTACATTGAAAATGTCAGAATGCCAAAGAAGTTATTAAAAAACGAAAAATTCATATCTTGAGAGCAAGAAATCCTTAAAATCACTTATTCTAACAATGTTTTAGAATACCCAAAAGTTCACATGTCAGCCGTTTGTTCAAGACAGTGTTTACAATAAAGTAATCGTGGCGCTGATAATTGCATGCTTCTCTCCAAGCAACCATTATTTATTGCTGAAAGATGTTTATTATTATAATTTATGTATGTATGAATGTATTATAATTTATGTATAATGAAAACCTTTCCATAAATTCCTGTAATATTTTACAATATTCTAATTCTTATTCAATATAAATCTGGCACATCATTTTATTTTATCAGAAAATAGTACAGTCTTTGTGTCTTGTGGACTGTACCCAAAATGGTCATCTCAATGTTGTCTTCTGTAGTATTAGATGACATCGAGATTATCATTTTGGATGATTATACAGTAACAACACTAAAAAGTAACTTGACAATTATGTCTACAATTCATATTGCCAGGTAAACATTGAAACATTATGCATTGACACTGAAAAATGACTAATTTATATATATATATCATACTTTTTATAAGGAAATTTATAAATATACTTTGAAATATTATTGATAAACAAAATACATTATATATAATTTTAGCTGGAGGATCCAACATCAGAAGGGTTCCATTCTTTCTGGACAGAGTATAGAACATCTGTGATAATTACTGCAATAAATCTAATACTTCCATTTGTATTTAATTTTCTTTCATCATTTGAAAGCTACTCTGAATCATTTAGGATTAAAATTACTTTAATAAGGTAAGTTTAATGTCAGAAAACATTAAAAAGTTTATTAACATTTTTCACTATTTTATTAAATTTAATACTATTATTTTTATTCAAAATATGAAAAATTCAATTTACACCATTAAAAAACTCACACAAACAACATAGGGTCTTATATCTGAAGTTGCAACCTCCACAGGCTAATAAATTCCCCAAACAGTCTTCAGTAGGCTACAAGTAACCTCTATCTAGCTCAATTGTTGAGAAAAAATGTTATTATTTAATTTAAAGTATTATTATTATTATTTACTTAGGAGTCAGAGATTCCAAATAACTATACACAAACTTCTGGATCTGGACTGGCAGTCATGTGATTTTTTTTAATTAAATAAAGAATTGCAGCTCAGCATTGTGATAATGTCACAATAAATAATTGCTCATTATAATTATATATTATAATAACAAATTGACAAAATTCAAATGATGTTAAAATCTGTGAAATTGAAGAAACGGTATGCAAAGTGTAGGAATAAACATTTGTGCTGCTCACTTGCCAAATCAATTAACTCCATAAAACAAAAAGTGGAGAAAAGTGATAAAATAGTATACATTCTTTTTTTAAAATTCCTTTTAGAATATAATTTCAAATAAATGTTGTAGAATGTATTTTTGTAGATGTAGCCTTTATTTAATGCCATATAAAATGTATAAGATAGCATAAATATGCTATAATCATTATCACAGTTTTGGTGTAATTGAGGGAATTAATCGATTTGGCAAGTGAAAAAAGTAATAACATCAAATTTGGTCTTCACATTGTTCTTTATTATAGAGAAACCTCATTATCGTAAACTTTTTATTAAAGATTTTTTGGAAAAGTGAAGAATAACTGTTTTGTTACTGTTACAATGGTGGTTATCATTACCTTGTTTAAATTGATTATTCAGCAACATAAAATGATGTCTTCTTTATCAGTTGTATTTGAGGTCCCATCATATCGATTTGTTCTTAATTTTTTATAAGAATCATGTTTAATAGGAAGAATGAAAAAATTTATTTTTAGTTTCATCTATCTTGATATAATGATACAACTTTTCTTTTTCTAAAAACAATTGCCATCAAACTTAAAACAATCGTTCAATTATCCACAAGTATACTTGCTTCTGCTGCAGTTGGACTGTAACTAACTAATTTCTTTTACTTACTTTTTGTGATGAGATAACACTAAATAATTTACCGTTATCTACAAAGCAATGGTCGGTGCACACTGCAATTTCAATGCTGCAGTGTACACTGGCAAATTTATTTTACAGTAAGTATGTAGTTAATTAAATTGGCTTCTGAAATAAATAATATTTTTTTTGATGGTCAATAAAATTTTGTCATTAAATGATATTGATCCTTATTATTTGGAAAACTTATTATAAATATAAAAAGTTAGGAGTATATCAAGTGCTTTGACACTAAAATTTAAAATGTGGAGTTAATCGATTTGGCTTGTGAATTATTAATTCACAAGGCTGATTTATTAATGGATAAAATGTTTTTTGGGACTTCCTCATCTTCATTCAGATTGGATGAGAATGATGGAAAAATTTGTTTGAGCACTATGAAATTCAAACATTAAAAATACAATGCTTACTTAATACAGGGTATCCAAAAAGTTACTGTGCTGTGAGATATTTGTAATGATGTTAAAGTTATGCAAGTAGTATTGCATATATGAGAATCTTAATATTGGTATTTTTATAAGAATTTAAATCAATATAATATTTCAATATTAAATTCAAAACTTTTATTTTATAAAAAGTCGAGGAGAACAAGGAACAAATGTTTCCTTTGACTGTTAGTTCCTGAGAGAGATCATTATCTCTCCTATGACTAAATATCTGACTAAATAAGACTCGTCTTGACATCTCATCAGATAATTCACATTGGAAGAGAATATTTGTATAAAAAGAGTTTACACACCAAACTCGGCATGCATAAGTTTTAAAGTAGTCGCCATATCTTAATTTTGTGCCTGATCTCCTCTGGTTCCCAACTTCTGCTTCCTAAGGACATAAATATATATATAACTGAAGTATTATACTAATATTTATTGTAAACTGTCCCTCAATACATAGCAATAGTATTATAGTTAGATAAGTCAGTGCCCTTTTAGTTACTTTATATATCCATTTGTATTTTAAATTTTATTTGTTTATTAATTATACTTTTATCTGTAAAAATGGAATTGAATGCTTATATTAGTTAAATATCGGATACCCTATTGACTTACTCACAACCTCTCCACTCAATAATTAGCCCTCCTATAGCCATCCAGTGACGGTATGAGCAGGTTTTACCAACCTGTAGTCAATAATAGTTCAATAACTCGACCATATAGAATCCGATTTCTCACACTTACAATATGTCTTGTATTTCCACTTTGCAGTAGATAGCATTACTGCTTGCAGACATTCTGGTCTTAGGACTATGGTTTTTAGAAGACATCTTTGCTGAATGCCTAATCTTCCATGGATCTGGCCCACCAGGTCTCTGGATCTCACTCCTCCAGATTTTGGGACTGCTGTGGGCTATTTCAAGCATTTGCTGTAGGAAAAATTACAATATTGTAAGTATAACTCTACTTAGACCCTTTCCATTGCACAGTAACTTTTTAGACACCCTGTACTATACATACAATGGAACATAAAAGACTGACTATTCAATTTGAAAACATAGAGGATCTGATGACAGGATGAGGAAGTCTCAAAAACCATTTTATCTGTTAATAAATGTTGATTCCCATACTTTATATGGCATTTCTGCAATATCCTTGATTTTCTGCAGAGTCGGTAAACTTGGAAACTTGAAAATTAGTCAATAGCCAAGTTATTAAATGCAGTTAGGTACCACATACCTCTTATATCAATTATTATTTTTTTATGTAATGTAAAAACTGTCTAATTTTGAAACATTTGAGAAGAATATAAGCAAGTAATACTATTCAGCATTGTATATTATGTATATAATACGATTTGACAAGATATTTTATAGCATTATTGAAAGCTACTTATGTAGGTAATATGTAATCTCGAAGTAGTTCAAATGTATATAATTATTAAATAATATTTATTGTTAATTATGTAATTAATTATACAAAATTATATTTGCAAGATATCAAGTTTTCAGAACTGGAAAACTTGGTAACTTGCCAATAAAAAAAATACAAAATGTTTATTTTTAGCTATTGCATTAGAAATACACTCTATTAATATGTAATATAAACAAAAGAAATATATTACAGAAACGATTTAATTAAATAATTTGTCAATGAAACATGTTAAAAAAAAACGCCCAATTGCTACACATCAATATGTTTTATGATTATGAATTAAAGGGTGTCTGTTAACAGTACCTGTTGTAAATTGTATGCCATTAGTGTTTGGTGTGGTTGACGACCTTGAAAACAGTGCTATTGCAGTGATCATTGCAGGCAGACAATTTCCAGGCTGTATCATTTCATGCAATGCCGACCAGAACCGGCCATTGAGGTCTTGCAATTTGACACTCTGCAACTTTTTCTGTGGAGGTTTGTCAAATTTTGTATCTATGCCAATAACCCATGGATGATTCACAAACTCAAGACAGAGATCTGATGAGTTATTGCCAGAATTATGCGATAGTGTCATTAGCAGTTTTGTGAAAAGAGTACACGTGTGCTGCCAGAGTCAGAGAGAGCATTTGGCAGACACTTTCCTCCATACGTAAAAATGATTTAGCACTGAAGTGGGTTGTAATGTTACTTTATATCGAAATAAAAATATCCACAGTTGTTCAATAAATGATGCATTTTATTCCACAATTAAGTCTGGCACTGTTTTTGGGACATCCTATATATATTCTGTATTGTCTAAACACTAATCTCTTACTTTCAGCTTTAATTTACATTATTTGAATTAAAATTTAAATGAATTATTCAATTTCTAGGTGTGTTTTTACTCGATTAGCATCAGTCGGTGTTCTCATAGTAAGTTTACATACTCAGATATCGTGCGATCCAAGAAATCACTGTGGAGAAGGTTACGATAAATGTCAAACACCAATGGTAATAACTGTTAATCTTTTGTAAATTTGTAACTGTATTATAATTTGTTATAAATTTGTTTTTTTTTTTATTTAGTGTTGGGAAACTTATGTTGGTCAACAAATTTACAAATTGAGTTTATTAGATTTTGTTGTAGTTTTAATAACTACATTTTTAATAGGATTTCCTAGAAAGTAAGTTTCTACTTTTATGAATAAAATAAAAAATAATTATTCTAAACTGTACAACATTTTAATTATTTTTATTTTACTCTATTCCTAGACTTTTGGTAACAAAAATAAAATGCAAACTCTTACAATTTATTGGAAAAGAAGAATTTGACATTTCACAAAATGTTTTAGGCTTGGTCTATTCACAGACATTATGTTGGTTAGTTGGCGAGTTAATTATATCATCATTTATTTAAATTATAATAATTATTTGTATGTAATTATATTTTCACAATAGGCTTGGTGCATTTTATTGTCCGATATTGCCACTGTTATCTGTTATAAAATATTTTATTTTTTATTACGTAAAAAAGGTGAGTTGATCTACAACATAATTTTATAATAAAACATTAATTTCAAATTCTAATTTTATTTTTAATTTTTTAGTTTTCATTAGTGGTAAATTGCGGACAAAGTAAGGAATCGTATAGAGCTTCTCGATCCAATACATTTTTTATGATTGTGCTAATGATGTCGTATTTGATCGGTCTATTTCCATTAATATACTCATTAACAGAGTAAGTTTTTAAACATATATAAGAGCTTCCAAAAGTATTCTACCATTTTAAATTATTGTAATTATGTTAATTATTATCCAAGAACATTGTAATGTACATTAAAACATTGGAAAACTGTCAAAATTTCACATTTGCCCATAACGGTTTCTCAACATATGCACTTTGTCACGTGGCACACAACCAACTCAAATTCTTTCTATGCTCACTACAATATATCTGTCGTCACTCCTTTCATGGCAGCCACAATTCTACAGCTCCCGAAGATTACTCGTCTTGCACAATGACAAGTGATTCTGACTTCGCAAACTGCAGAACACAGAATGCCTTCTCAGTTTTGCCATTTTTGTTTACGGTGTTTCTTAGGTTTGGACGGTTACTCTATCTATTGACATACATTGTACACTTCTCAGATAATAATTAGCATAATTACGGTCATTTAAAATAATAGAATTGATTTTAGAAGACCACTTACATCTATATTTTAAAAAATATTTTTAAGTATAATTTATAATCAAATTATATTTTTTTGATATTTAAATTATAGATTAGAAACATCGAAAGGATGTAGTCCATTCCGAATTTACGGTTCAGCATGGACCACAATGGTGCATCTTATTAATAAGCTTCCTAATTGGGTGAACAAAACCATAGGATTTATTGGTAGTGCTGGATTTGGAATACCAGCTTTTATGATTCTCAGGTTAATTTTAAACTTTCTTTGCCTGTTTCTAAATAAATATTTTAACAACTTTCTTCAGAAGATACAAAATAATATTTAAGCATAAGTAACAGAGTATTAAGTTTTAAGCCCCAAAAATATATTTTTTATTAGTTTAGTTTTGTAAGAACAATGTTATTGGTCTATGGTAATGTAAAATAAATTCCACTTAAAAGTATTAATTGGGATATTTCTTTTTTAAAGATCCCAACACTTACAAAGGAAAGAATATTAAATTATATTAAACTTAACATAAATAAATGTTCTAATTGTAGATATATTTAGCCATAAACTGTATAGTTAATATTATTAATGATACAAATTTATGTATTTAAAAAAAAAATTATTATTTTTAAATTTTAGTTTGCTCCTGTATTACTACCTAACTCTTTCCGCAACCTACTCACAGTTATCGAATATTATGAAAGATCATCTGCAGACGGAAAGTAGAGACAAGAATTTTCTGTTGAGAAAGTTGATGCTGATCCTTCATCATCCGCAGAAATAATTATTCCATATTAAAGAAAATATTGACTGGTACTCATTACCTATATTTGTAAACAATATATACTTTATACATTATATATGACGCCAAATGATTTCTTTCTTTTTAATAAAAATATATATATTTTTAAGGCCAGTAATTGTATAAAATAAGTATTTTAAATATGATGTGATTTTAATTGTTTAATTATTTATTTTATATATGATGCCAAATTAAAGAATTTTACAATATACTGACTTTGGATTTATTATTTACTTTACACAATATACAAATTTACAGATATTTTATGTTCTTTTTTATATCAGAATGTCATATGATTTGAATTTTTTAATCACCATCAATTAAATTACTATTAATGTAATTTTAAAATAAGTGTTCTTTCTGAAGATCCAATAAATTAATTTAGTGTTTCATTCATATTTTTAACAATAAACATGTTCTGTTTACTGTTTCTTTTTCAATTTGGGGTAAATTATATGTGATTTTGCAGTATCTATGCAAGTAATAAGGCATAAAATCCTACTTTCATGGTTAACATTCTCTTAAATGTGTCCAGCATGAATAAAGCTAAGAAAAAAAACAACACAAATTAACATTTGACCCTTCGTTTTTTGTAATTACATGCGCTTCATTAATTTATATATTAATTTCTTCCTATACTTTCATTATAGTGGTTGGTTCAAGGTCGGTTGTATTATTAAAACCAAGATTATTTTTTCCATTATAACTATTATTTTATGTTTAAAAATTTCTAAAATCGTTCAGAATTTTATTCATTAATTAAAATATTTCATAATTTCAAATATACCATAATTAACTTAATGGGAAAATATGGAAGTTTGGCACATTGGGGGATTTATGTAAAATTTATCGCTTTACAGCTTGGTATAATATATTTTCAGACATCCTCGAGATTAAATAATATCCTTTTTAGTGATAGTTTATTAAAGTAAATATTTCCCTTCTACATATGTGACGTAATCGCGCTACTCCATTTATGGGTTCGTTGGCTAATCATCATCAAAAGCAGCTTTGTATATCCGTTGTTCTGTCCTGCCATCCTTATGCTACTTTGGATATTTGCTTTACTGCTCTCAGGTATTTATACGTTGATTAATATCGATTTTTAACTATAAATAAGTTATATATATATATATATATATATATACACCTTATATATAAAGTTAGCAACGTTGTTGCTGTACTTTTCCGGAATTTTTTTATCCCTAAAAACTGTAACCATTACCATCACAAGTCTTTAGATTTGTTCTAGAGATATTAAGGGGGTGAGACATATCTCCCGAACTTCTAGCAGAAACCCCCAACTTTTTTAGCATTTCTTGAGGTTTAGAAGTCTCCTGACTTCAAAAATGTAAAAATCTTGAGATCCGTTTTTGACTGATTTCAAGATTTTTAGCCTGAGAAAGTAATACAGGCATATACTGTATATATGACTTATAAGGTATAATCAGGTAACATAATAAGATATAAGGACTTGAATCATATCAGTTAGCATTAAGCTAATCAATACTTTGCAATTTGGAATATAAACAACACACGAATAGCCAAAAATGTAGACTTCAGTGTTGATTCCGAAGGGGACGAAAGGGGCAAATTGCCATGGCGTCCGAGGAATTATACAGTGTTTTCTACTTCCTTACTTTAATGTAATAATTTAATTTGCTATAGGGCCCCCAGGCTCCCGTTACTCTTTAGGAGCCCTGATCTTTAGTTGATCCGAGATGATTCAGTAATTACCCTCAAAGTCGTATCTTCACTAAATATTTCGAAAAATCCAAAGAATTTTTCAGATCGATTTGTCCTAAATATTTGCCTCACCACCCGGCCACCCCCATTACGAGCATAAAAAAGCCCTCTTAGTGCCCGCACAGCGGAGAGAATAAAGATAAAACTAGATAAAGCGGAGATTAGTGAAACTTCTATGAAGCTTAGAGTGCAACTGTGCAGATGCGAATTTAGTAGCGAGCGATATAGTTCTCGCAAAGGAAAAATATGCACAAGCGAGAAGCGAGAAATCTCGCTGGAGAGAGCAAATTTCTGGTTCTCGCACTAATTGTCAAGTGTTGAACATGGGTTTAGACCCGAAATGTATACAAAAAAGACAGGTATCTTGCAATATATTCAAGTGTTTGCCGTGTCCCTTTTTTCTATACCCAAGTTCAGCCCAAACCCATAATGGAAGAGCCTAGTGATAAAGGAGGGCTCGATACATCCGGGATTTAGTATCCTGAAGCATTCCTGGGGAATTAACTGGGCTGGATTCGATCCCGGATCCCTCAAAGCGATAAAGCGACATCCTTCTTCTTCTCCTCTCGGGTTTATATGGAGATTATAGCCTTAGTTCGCTTTCTTTCCGACTAGCAAAAAGCGACTTAACCAACACGGGATTATTTAAATAGAATTCTTAATAAATAATTTTTTCCATTAATGATTTTTTTAGTTTATATATTTTGTTGAAGTATTTCATTTTTGCTTTTATCCCGACAGTTGTATCATCGGTTCTCCTAGATTTAAACAGACAGATCGGAACTCAAAAGATCTTTAAAGATATTCCGGAATATGAGGTAGACATAATGCAAATGTTATTTTTCTATATTGCTTCACATTTATTCCTGAATAAATAATTCCTTTGGAAGCCTCACTAATGAGAAATTCAAAGATGATTCAAAAGTTAACATGCATTGATCCATAAAATTGCAGTATCCCTGCTCTTCTTTGTGGATAATATAATAAATAACGTAATATTGAAGTTATTAGTTTCACTAAACACTACATAATATATTAAGAATAAAGAATAAACAAAATAAATGTCATAATAAAATTATTAAGGCCGACTGTATATTGTTTAGTTATGCACGCGATCTCCAGCAGATGGCATTGAAAATTTAATGCTTTTTCTATATGAGATGGCCAAGGACTGTATACTACAAGGATAGCCAGATCTCTATTCTACAATGTTAGCCAGGAATGGCAAGTTAGTGACGTCACACGTGTCCTGACCTCTCTGTTTACATAGAGCAAAAGGTGCACGTGTTTAGTTTTCGCTTTTAATATTCGTCCAATTTTGTGATTAACGAAGTGATTTATTTTAATATTTCTGTAATTGTTTTGGTTAATGTCCAGATACGTGGACCGTCATGGCGGCACTTCCTGTTTCAGCCTCGAAACCAGACGGTTTGCAGACGACGTGTCACGTGACGCACCGACGCACGTTCTAACCTAACCTAACCTATTCTAATAAATTAGCATAATTATTATCAATTATATTATTAGAATAGGTTAGGTTAGGTTAGAATGTGCGTCCCCACTGTTTCCTTTTCTTTGCTGGAATCAGCGATGAGGCGCCATGACAGCCGCCGCCGTTCGCTCGCGTCGTCACGTGACACGTCGTCTGCAAACCGTCTGGTTTCGAGGCTGAAACAGGAAGTGCCGCCATGACGGTCCACGTATCTGGACATTAACC